GAAGGTGTTTTATAATTGTTACCTTCCCAATCCCCTTCTCTCCATGTTGCATGTTGCATGTTGCATGTTGCAGTGATTCACCCGCATTGTCCCCAACCTTATCTACCAGAAAATGTCAAGTCGGTCAATATTGCCGAGCCGATTTGGAATGAAACTGGGAAATGTCGAATAAGACGAGGGAAGAAAAAAAAAACAGGGTCTTTCAGCCGTCGTCTTGGCTGCCAATTGACAATTCTTGGAATGATCGAGAATATTTACTCCGGTGCAGAAGGAGCATATATCCACTGACACATCCATGCTACAAAGATAATCCCAATCCAATAAACTCAATCTAAAAACAAAACAAAATAAACAGGGATATGCACCAAAAGCACAGTTGTGATGAGCACACGGGTCCCGGGGTTATCCACTACAAATGTGATTTGCCAAAAAACCGAGCCGAACGCAAATCCCGTTGAAATGAAGATAATTTATGCTCTAAAATCTAAACCAGCTCGAGACCCATAAGGCGAAAGGGATATGCGCCAAACTCCACATTCTGCAGCGGGGACCGCAGTAAGCACGGGAGACCGCAGTATTGGGAACGGTACGGAGTATGGAGTACAGAATAAGTTGCTCGGTTGTCATGGGAGTTCTGATTGGGTGAATCATTTTAAAACTTGGGGAAGTCGATGTGATGGGCGACTCTCGGTAGAGGTGCGTTTTGTGTCTGGCCAACCTCGGGAGTCTGCTTGAATTTTGGCTTTGGTCTTTTGGGGGGGTCTAGATCCTTAATTGTGGTTCTAGAGTAATTTCCACCTCGCTGGTAGTGCGTGACACTAATTGAATATGTATACAGAGTAGATTGTTAACCATATGTCATATGAGCCTAGAATGGATTTTTGAAATAATGGATAGATTTAGGAGAATGTGGATTCGCTAAAGTTTACTACATGCAGTGGACAATAATATATATTTAGGTTGGACAGTTCTTCCAGGCCTCCATAGGCTTTCAGTATAGTAATAAGAGGCTTGTTTTGCTAATCGTCCCCTGTTCAATGGTTTCTCGAGGACGTGTTAGATTCTGGGTTGAAAGTGTAGACATCTAGACCACAGATCATAATATGGAGTATTCGAAATACGAACACTGTGTCGACGGACTTAATCATCAGCATATTTTGAATGCATCCCGCACGAGTTTGTTTGCTGCTGATTCATTCCGTGTGATATTAGGACAGTGCCGTCCGAGGGAGTAACCCTGCCTCAAATAGAAACGTTCTGAGCCACTGGGAACTTGAAAGGAAGAAAGTTTGTGTAACCACGAATGATAGTTGAGTTGAGCTATTGTTTTCGACTTAGTAGGGCTTCAGCAAACAAGAAAAGACAAGGTCACACATCCCTGAATCATCGACACCAGGACTATAGTAGGCAAATATGTCTCCGTTGCCCATTCAGTGCACAGGGTCCAGTATATTAGGATAATCAACACATTACCAGGCTGACTTGACGAAGCATCCAATGTTGTAGTATCCGGTGCCAAGATATAAGATCATGCAGGGACATTAGAGTTAAAGATCTCACTCTTTGTCCATATATATGTATATCGCCTCATGTTCGTACAGGTATAGATGTAGAGGAACCGGGATAGTTGAAAGGTTTAGCTGGAAATGATAGAACGTTTGAACACCTAATATAGCGATTGTGACCAACTATAGACCACCGGTGGAGATCGATACGGCTGCAAAAGACTAAGCGCTGGACATTCAGGAAGATAATAAAAAAATAAGGTTCAAAATCTGAAACCACTAGCTATTTTGTTTTAAAAACAGAACAAGAAGAGAGGAGCGTGGCAATATAAAACCACTCTCATCCAAGCCATCTCAACCCATCACCAAAAACAAAACAAAGAACGCACTCATCAGCCAAGGCCCACTATACCAGCTCCTTCAACGGTATCATGTAGCCAATGCTTGAGAATCATACGCGTCATCAACAAAGAACCGCCCTTAGCCCAGTATATTCCCCATGTGACAGTTCCAGCGTTACACCACTATCTCGCCATTCCAATAGGGCAAACCAAGCCGAATGCTGTTTACGCGCCCAACTCCAATAATTGACAAGGGTGGACATGCATATACGCATATGCGCTAAATCAATGGAATGTCCAGGTGGACCGCACATCCGCCGTTCCGCCTGTCCGTCCGTCCGGTGCACTAGGCTTTAGCGTTTTTTTCTCTCTTTGGATGGGGAGCATTTCTTGGTAAGCTATGTGTGTGTACCTTGTATAAATGATGAGTAATTATGAGTGTTCTTACAAATCATATAACGGGAATACTCCGCAAGGCACGGGCTAATACGAGACTGCTGTCATATGTGGCACGGGGCATGGTGTATCCTTGACATCGGCGTCCCCGATATGTTAAGGTCCAGGGAACGCGCAAGGAACGCCAACGCATAAATGGACTTGGAAACTTACTGCACTCGGATTTGTAATGTTTGAGTTTGACATTTCCAACCATTTGCGTTACGTCGGGGACGCCGGTTATACGAGGCTCGTTGGGTTTGATGTTCACATGCAGTTGGAGCCTCAAGGGGTGGAGGCTCATCTTTTTGCAGATCTGTAGCGAATTGCGTACCTGAGGCTCTGTTACTCTTGGCTACGATGATTTGTCTTTGAATGTGTGGAGGTGGGCCCTAGAGTGCTGGGGTTACTCATCTGAGACAGATGGGGAAAAAAGATAGTATGGTAAACAATGTGTACTACTATCACGGTCCGTTGAAAAAAAGAGTAATGTGCTGAGTCTACGGACAAAAAAAAAAGAAGATAAAACAATGAATGGGGAGGTACATATCGATCCTGGGATTCGAAAGAAGAGGATCATAAAAGGAGGCTAGGGAAGATGCGCGCAGAGAGAATAAAAGCCCAATAGATTAGAAGAAAAACGGATCCCATTCAAAGCAGCGAGGAAACCAAGCTCAAACATCTGTCATCATCGTCATCAATTCCTGAACCAATCACTCCACAGTCAAGGGTTATGGCACAGATCTTCCCACGACACGGTAGATTCAATCTTGGAAACAACCACGAATGTAGGTTTTTTTTTAAATCTCTTTATCGACCGTGCACGTCCATCGGATCTGTGGCAACCAAGGCGCCAAGGTTTTGTCGCCGGCGCCGCATCGGGGCCTTCTTGCGATTCGCAATGGCAGCATCTTGCGATTGTTCCGGGTTCATCGCGGTATCACCATCCTTATCGTCGCGTCCCTCCTGTGGAGACAGCCCCTGCTCGTGATTCCATGCCTCGTCAAGCTCGACAACGTTTTTAGGCTTCATGCGCAGCCATTTCATGCGCGGGCCGACACGTGAGACTTCAGAAACCTTGAAGCCGTAGATTCTGGGGTCATAGATCTTGCCCTTGCCGAGCCCTGGGCAGAGGTTAGGTGTCCGGACGCCATTGATTTCCAGCGGCTGGTTCTCGGGTGTGGGCGACTGCTGTGCCTGGCGACCTGCCGGGGTTCGTGTCAGGGAGCCAGTGCGAGACTGCGTGGATGCGCTCCGTGGCGACATCACTGACAATGCTGCATCCAGACGCGGCCCGATATCCAGATCTGGGAATGTCATGAAGAACAGACATCCGAAAGTTGTACCGAAGAAGGCGCCGTCGACGGAGTGGAAACGGCTATTGGGGGGTGTATAAATATCCATGCAACCGGGGCAGAAAAGCTTGACGGTTTCGTGGCCAGGGGTGTCGGACCGGCCCACGGGGAGCACTTTGCATCCGTTGCAGTTCACCCGGGGACAAGTACCGAAATGCTGCATCTCGTATTTTTCGAGCATTTGTTGAATGCCGGGGCGCGAGGTGATATACCGTTGGTGAATCAAGCCATACAGGAGCTCAGCGGAGCTCTCGATCACGCTCAAATCGCTTGCGACTCGGGTGTGTCGCCGATCGCCTGCTCTTCTGTATGCAGGTCCATCACCGCCAAGCGCATCATCTTCGTCTTCGTCTTCCTCTTCTTCCTCCTCCTCTTCCTCGTCATCCTCCGGCTCCACATCAAGGATCATCTCTAGTGCCTCCTTGTACATCGGAACCTGCGACTGAAGACCAGTCAGATTGAAATCATCCTCAATGAAGTCCTCCGACACCTCTGCGAAGAACTCATGGCCCATCAACGAACAAAACGAAGAAATCCACGACTCCGGGGCTCCTTCCGAGGACGACATGTCGAACGAGGCGGCGGACACGGATGACGATAGGGTCGATTCAGACAGTTGACTCAAATCCAGCCTATCAAGGCCGTCGGCCAACGCCGAACCTGTCTCTCTCGACACGTTGCCGAGCTGGGGGGTGAGGACTTCGTGGATGTTGGCGAAGACGAAGTGATTTCGTCACGCGAAGGGGCTGGCTCGTGCGACTGTGACGAAGAGTACAGGATTGGGATGTGAGAATGAAAGAATTCCCAGTATAATCGTAAGAGATCTCGAAGTGGATGGAGGGCTGAAAAGCTAGACGTTCATGGCAATGTGCGGGAGGGGGGTAGATTGTGCGATCAACGGGAAGAGGTTGGATCTAGGCTGAGCCCCACCAAAATCTTATCAGTTTCTTATGGCCTTCATATTGAATTTATCAGATCACTTACCAGATCTCAAACGCACTCGGAGATTGATATTGGTGAGTCGAACCTGGAGGTTGGGTGTGTCGATCGAATCGGGTTAGGCCCGTTCGGTTCGTGGGGGCGGTGGGCAGGAGAGAGGTCTTGCAGTGCTGTTCACCTTTTGTGACGGCTATGGTGTATCTGTTTTGTTTTTCTACGATGGGCAAAAGTGAAGTCAATGCTGGCAGATTGCAATTTGCCTGAGTTGCAGGAGTCACGTGTCAGCTGACGTGGGGGAATGATATGAATTGTCTTGCAAAGTCTTGGACCATGGAGGTTTATATAAGACTTAACTAATTAGTTAACCATTGGTCTGGTTACTAGTTACCTAGGTAATTAACTATCAAAGGGTATTCACTAAAATATCAAAACAAGTCCCGAATGACTCGAGCAAACTCCCCCTCATCACCCAAAACCCCCGGTAAACCTTCGCCGGTGTTCTGAATTTCCCCATCCGGCCCAACGAAGCCACCAATGCCATCATTTGAAGTGTTAGGCATGAAATTACCAAAAGCGCCAACAGCCTCGAACAGGTTTGTTAACTCTTGACTCATCTGGAGTCCATTGATAGGACTATTTCCAAGTTCGCTCCCACCATTCATGGGCCCGTACATGGACAGGTCCTGGATTGGGTGTCCCGCCAACCCAGCCATCGCCATGGCAGCGCTTGAATGGGGATCACTTGAGTCTGGTCCAAAAGGACGGGCGAGAACGCCAAGTTTCTCGCCGATCTTTCGTAGACCTCTAATTGTCTTCCATAACCGCTTGGAGACGTGGGATTTGGTACTGAACCCGTTGATCAGGTCGAGCGCCATGTAGAATTCATCGCGGACCTGCCGGTTGAAGTCAACCGGGGCATGGGACACTGCTAGGAACAGCACCGCCAACGCAGCAACTAGAAAATAGTTGAATGTTATCTGCTGTGTCCGGTAGATATCGGACATCTGGTTCAGCCGGGTGAGTACACGGATCGAGTCCTTGGCTACTTCCACAACAGTCTGGGCGTGGCCTCGATCTTCGGCAATGCTGGAAGGAGAATGGAGAACGGGGCGGTATATCAGGATGCGCAGCTGGTTCATCCGCAGGTACAAGAGAACCCTGAGTCGTCTCATGCCTCTGTTTAAGTTTTCGCCACTTTTGGGGGTCTCAACGGGATAAAACTTGAGCTCTTCTGGAACTTCCTTGTACCATTGTAGAGTTTGGTAGTCCAGATAGCCGATCCGATCACGACGGATATCAGTGGTGCCTTCGGAACCGAGACCAGAGTACCAGATCTTGGAGCTGATCCGGTTATATGAGATCATGCATTGCAAGTAAGGTAGCGATGCATCCTGGGAATTTCACGTATTGATTAATAGAGGTAACTGCGTGGTGAGGGATAGGCAGCCTTACAGGTTCTGGTAAGTTTGGATCAATATCCTCGTCCTGAATCACGAAAGGTAGCCCCGCGCCGAAACTCCATCGTCTGTCCAAGCTGTGGACGGACCAGAACAGCCGGGTGATCTCATTGCGCCGCCCCTCATCTGGGAATGACTTCACCAAAGCATCCCGACGATGCAATCCCATTTCTAAACACATCCGTGCCGCCAACCCAATAAGCCGATAGGCCATAGCATCATCGTCTGTGTGGAAATGGTATGTGGCCTAGAGTGGGAAACAGAGTTAGAGTTATTGACTGGGGCTTTTGAAGAGAATTGACTTACCACAATAGCAAAAAGCTGAATGGTTTTGATTGTATGAGGCTCCCACAACTTCGATTCTATAAATGGCTTGACATCCAAGTAGAGCCGCTGCCCAAGTTCACTTTGACCACCCCCCTCCACGACCAGCGTGGTGGCGAGAACCAATTTAAAAATAATGGAATTTTCATCGTGTAAACCATCAGATCCCGGAAACCCTCGTTGTGCAAAGCCTGTCCTGGTAGCAGCCTCTATAAATACGTAGAGCAGATTGGCCTGGCTTGTAATCTTGGCGATATCCACCACAGGATACATAATCCCAATCTCGTCCTCGTAAACTTTACAAAGGCGCATTGCCTCTTCACGCTGGATCGTCCATATAGGATCCTTGGTAGGATGTGTTGTTTGAAGAATTTGCCCCATATTGGGAGGTGGTGAGCCTGTCGGAGAAACATGTGCGGTGGTCAAGTCATCTGGGATCCCGTCTTCTGCTGGAGTTATACCCATATTCTGTAAGCTGGATTTGGCCACGTCAAAATTGAATGCCGAGCTTGTTGGACCATGGAAGCGTGGGTGACGGGCTCGTGGCTTTGCTGGTCCAGCTTGCATTGGAGCGTAGACCGATTGAGACCCATCGCGAGAGAGATGCTCAAACCCTGGTGAATCAAAGGCTGATCTGTTGGCACGGAGGTCGTTGATATTGGTGAATAGGGTATTGACTTGGTCTTGTAAAGTAGTGATTTGATCTGTCATCGACCGGAACTCACTAGCTCGGCTATTAGTATGAAATGCTGGACGGTTTTTCATTCCTAGACTTACTCCGAATCTTTGAAGTTATTATTACAACAATTAGGCGCATAACGACCTGGCTAGTGGGTCAGCCCTGAAACTTAGGATTGGACAGCTCGAATGCTAAAGGGAGCTACAATTCGTCAATAGAGTTGAGAGCCACTTACATTCCAAATTCAGGTGACCACAACGTTGGCAGGGCATCTGGCCATTGCACTTGATCTTGCGGCGCTTGCATTCATTGCTGAAAATCCCGTGGTTAGCTCGGCTGTACCGACAAAGACACCGAAGGAGAAGATGTGATCATATGATTTTGCATGCAAAACAGATTTTCGGACTAGCTGCAAGGCTGAAAGGTGAAGTGACCGAGGTAAAATGGAAAAAGTGCCGGGTCAGGCCATATCATACCATGCAATGGAGACGTAGCGATTCCGCTTTGTGCGCGCCTGTGTTCCGTTGCCTTGTTCCGCCTTCCTCTTATTGGAATCAGACGCACCAATGGACTGATCGCGGGGGTCCGTCTGCGGCGGTGACATTTCTAGCTGGGGTGACTCTGAAGCCATGGCTTGCAGAATATTGAAGCGACTCAATGAGTAGCCGGAGAGAGATACTGGCGTTCGAAGTGCGGAGAAATTCCTCTCTCGCGGGGTTTCCCGTTTTCCCCAGATTCAGCTTACTCATCGGATTATATGGCCTGGTCATTGGCCTCAGGGCATATTTACATTTGGAGAACACAAGATTATACTGATGTACATGATCAGTTGTTAACTGCATAAAATTCCTAGCTCCGGACATAATGCTTCAAGTTCAAAATATGGCGAGGCTCAATCAATGAAAAGACATCAGCGCCTCAATTGCAAAACCGCGGAGACCAGCCACTCTTTCCCAGCCAGCAATGACTGCACCAACTGAGTTTTCTGCTGAGGATTCTGGTGCAGGAAGCCAACACCCGCAAAAAGGCCAACCATGATAGATGCTTGGGTGGATTTTCGGATAGCTCGCAAAATCCGTCCCTTTCTCGTGAGTTTCGCAGTCCAATGCCGCCACACGGGGAAGGTGCAACGCAGCCAATAGTGAATCTGAGTGAACCTGAATAATATGTCAGTAATACCCAGAAACTAGCGGAGGCAAAAGACGTACGGATATGTGGTTGAATTCCAACCATCGGCAGTGATGTACCAACTGGAGCAAGCCCCACGACGGAATACACTCTTTTGGAGTGCGTCCTGCACCTGCCGAGTCCATTCACGCTCAGCATCCTCCTTGACCTCATACGAGGTGACCTGGCCATTCAGGATTGGCTTGATGAAATTCAGCGAGTAGTTTATCGCATTTTCTGTCGCAAAAATAACACTAGTATGCCCTGTTGTCGTATTTGGACCGTAAATCATAAAGAAGTTCGGGAAAGAATCCATTGCAATGCCCTGGTATGCCTGGGCTCCTCCACGCTCCGCCCAGACCTCTTCAAGATCCTTGCCCTCCCTGCCAATCACCTTCAGTGGGTGCAGCCATTGGTTGGTTTCAAACCCGTTGGCTAGGATGATCACGTCGGCGGGGATCTCCCTAACCTCACCTGCGTCGTCCGACTTGTGGGATGGGTAGTGTCGACCCGGACCAAGAGTCACACTCTTCGCATTAACCCTTGTCAGAGGCTGAGTAGTCAATTCCACATTTGGGGCATTGAGACTGCGATACCAAGTGCCGTCGATGATCCGTCTCTTACAGCCGAGGACGTAGTTAGGTGTCAAGATCTCGTGATATTCCTTTGGCGCGGTTTGGCGCATATGGTCCAAAAAATTCTTCTCTAGCCGCGGCCGCGTTCTTCGGCTCCATGCAGTATCCGTGAACATATCGTAGAAGCTCTTCTCTATCATTAAGAAAGTAGCTCTTCGTACGAACGACGCCAGTCCAGGCACGTGGGTCATCACTGTAGCTGACCATTTCTCATACAAGGGGAGATATTCAGGAGAGATCAAATCGGGCTGGACCCACGGAGGAGTTCGCATGAGTTGGGTAATCGATCGAACGTTGGCCTCTGGCTTCGCCAGCTCGGGCACTACCTGCGCAGCACTGCAGCCGGAACCCACCATGATGACATTCTTGTCCTCCAACTCAACTTTGTCGTTCCAGCGAGCCGTATGCATGACCTCGCCTTCAAAGTCCTCAATGCCTGGGATGTTCTTTGGCCATGTCTTCGGTTCTACCAGCCCGCCAACACCACTGACGACCACTTTGGCTCGCACGATTTCTGTCTTGACATAGACCTTGTGGTGGCCATCCTGAGCTGCGATTCGATCTCGTTCGTGCTGAGCTAAATCACCGGTTCCAGGAACAAGGTGCGAGAGCGTAACCTCCCATTCCTCGTCATCCTCGATCCATCGAAGTCCTTTGACATCGGTATTCAACTGAATCTTGTCGACAATTTGATATCTCTCGCATACATCTGCCATGTACTGTGCCAGTTCTGAGCCAGACGGATGGAGTGTGGACCAGTCCTTTTTCTGAGCAAAAGAGAAGGAGTAGAATATCGCTGGTCTTTGCCCTCTGGATTAGCTATTCAGTAAGTAAGGACTGGACTTTGATCACGTACATGTCACAGGCAGCTCCCGGATACCTGTTGATCCACCAGGTGCCTCCAATACCGGACTGACGGTCGAATATTCTGAACTGGTCTGTCCCCAGGACCTCTTTAAGCCGGCAGCCCATGGCCACCCCTGACTCGCCAGCACCTACTATGAGGACCGGATAATAAGTGTGAGCATCCTTGCTGTAGGCATGGCGCTTATGAATTCGGGCGATGGAAGAAGGCATGTTGCAGGTTAACCGTGATTATAGGCAATCGAATGGTCGTGAAACCTGGGAGGACATGAATGAAATGTCAATGTAGACCCTCGACGTGGCACAAAGTGCGAGTGTCACTTGATGGAACGAAAGGAGTCACATGGACTGCCTTTTGTTTGCTTCCAGGAGAGTCGATAGCTCTGCGCAACTGCGGGGGGATGTATATTAACCTCGGCGATAATCGGCTTCATACCCTTTCGTGCTTTTTTATGCTCCATTATTGTGATCGACAAGTGGGCTAATCCTCCGTAAACGACTGTGACTAGGGGAAATGACAAGGGTAAGGCTTGGTCGGAGATCCACTATCTCGGGTCTCCGATCTTCACCTTTCCACCTCCCACGATCTGGATGAAGCCCCAGCCATGGTCACGAGTTTGGACGCGACTCCCACGTCCAGGCCTCTATAATCCGCGATCAATTGTCCGAAATTTTTGCGCTTCTTCGCACCCTCAATACCAATCTCTCTACATCCTCGAAAATGCCACCCTGGACACCTTCCAGCAGCAATGCTTCCTCCCCGAGCAACCAGCAATTCTCCCACGATCTACCTTCCAAGACCTCCCCGCCTTAAAACAATGGTTCAACCGCTCGAGTACTGAGTCAACACCAGGCACCTCAAACCCCGTCGCAAGTCTGAACGTGGAATATCTCCACAAACATGGCGCCGACGCGTTTGTCCCACTCGAGCTCACGGAATCCACATCGTCAGACGCTGCATCCGTATCCGACGGCGAGACAACAGAAATGCATAGCTTCCGGCAATTCCACGCGCCGCTCTCTTTGTTCCTCGACTGGATGCGCACGGCCGAGACCACGCCCCAATCGACGCGGCTCTACCTAGCACAATGTCAGCTCCTCGACCTCCCTCCCGTGCTTCGAGAAGATTTCCCGACGCCGGAGCTTGTGGCGCGCGCGGGTAAGGGCGATGTATACGATACGAATGTGTGGATTGGACACCCGCCCACGTACACGCCGCTCCACCGTGACCCGAACCCGAACTTGTTTGTCCAGCTGGCTGGGGAGAAGGTTGTGCGGCTGCTTGCACCGGCGGACGGACAGGCTGTGTTTGGGGCTGTGAGGAGGCAGCTGGGGAAGAGTGGGAGTCGGGAGGCAGCGGCTTTTCGGGGCGAGGAGATGATGCAGGGGAGGGAGAGGGCGTTGTTAGATGAGATGGTTTGGAGGACTCCGGTGTCTGCTGGTTCGGACGCTGGGGTTGGCTTTGAAGCATATCTTGAAGCTGGTGATTCGTTGTTCATTCCCAAGGGGTGGTGGCATAGTATTAAGGGTATCGGTGGGGGTGTGACTGCTTCGGTGAGTATCCTTCTCTTGGGAGGGTGTGTATCTGCCGCTAATATGCTTGCAGGTCAACTGGTGGTTTCGATAGTTTAACGTCTACGCCCATATTAATGCGGTACGTCCGCGCACAAAGCCTGATGCTCGGTCGCCCCTAGCCTAGATCCAGTTTGGATGTTCTCTATGACTGGAAATGTCAGAGAATTGAGCGTTCTATGATTGGAAAGGCCGTGGAGACTCTCCAAGCCCTGAAATTGGGGATAAATCCAAATGATTGGTGTGACCAAACACTCATTCTCGGACTGGATGCCTCTCAAAGACAGAGAGAGTTTAAGACAGGCTGTGGAAGGTTTGTTTTAGTAGAGTCATGATGTGACAGAATAAGTATATAATATGGACACCCCCGGGGCTTCCTCTTAACTATGTAAGCTCACCGTCACTGGCAAAATTAAGGAAGATATATGCAGCGTAGAATTATTTGGGTGATTAATTGTGTAGACAATGCTGGAGAATGTGAAACAATTAAACCTGGGGAGTCCAATCTAAAAACCGGACCGAGACCCATCTTCGCAATCCTTATTTTCCTCCAAGCCCACCTCACCTCCACAAAACCCGAATCATGCAAGTATCGCGCACAGTCTACCGCGCCGCTCTCCTCCACCTATCCGTCAATCCCTTCGTGCGCGCCTCGATCCCAGCTGGCACTTTTTGGACATCCCTCAACGCGGCAACCCAATCGCCAAACACCCGCCTCTACAGCATCCTCTTTCCGCAGTGCACAACCACCTTCAAATCAGACTGCACGCGCCAAACCCGCACAATGTGTGACTCATCCGACTCCGCTGCCACTGCGTCCTCAAACCCCGCCACCCAAAACGCAGACACTCAACACCAAGAGACCCAAGAACAAGAACCCCAAAAAGAACCTCTATCTCCCCGCCAGCGACCCCTCAAACCCCATCTCGAACCAACAAGGTGAGGGGGGCATTAAAATCGATATGAGCGGGGGCGGATCGGAGGTCAAATTGGACCATCTGGGTCCGATGGTTGTTAATGTGGATGGGACGTTGTCGCAGATTGGCAACTGGCAGCAGATGACAGAGATTGAGAAGAGTAATACTTTGCGGGTTCTTGGGAAGCGGAATAAGAAGCGGTTGGAGGCTTTGAAGGCTAAGGAAAAGGCAGAGGGAGGGTCAGACGAGGCTTGATTTTGTGTGTGGTGACGGACGATGTGAATCTTCATACTATTGATGTATGCTGATATTGTGTATATGTATTATAAAGGCATTGCTACATGTCGTTGGGTGTCAACTACGACTGGTGATCACGGCTATTCTTTCAAAAAGTACATGTATTTTCCAATAACTATATTGGGTATCATAATAATGCTAACATCATATAAACATATGCAGTCTTCAGTCCAAAGTAGAGACAAGTCACCGCCCATTGAATCACGTATCCATAGGTCTGCATCGGAGGTCACTTGAGTATGTTCTAGTCTTAGGTATATCACAAGTATCCAAAGCAGCAATGAGACCTATAAGAATCTTATTCAAAGATAATCCGGAACCACTTTTGTGCGAGATTCCTATTCGCATCGTTAGCATCGAATCATAAATATAATAGATCGTATACTCACTTAGGCGGGATTTCCACATAGTCTCTAGTATACTCCTCGATCTCAGGGACACCAGTGGTCAGATCGACTTCCTCAGGCCTGAGGAACTTGGTCTTGTGGAAGAGTTTCCACCCGAAGTAAATGACGGGGAATACACCGATCATGGTGTAGGAGAAGAGGAATGTCGGGATGGACCAGTTGCCGGGAAGAAAGACGGTGTAGCCACCGACAAAAGCCATCACCGTGGTGCAGGTACAAGCGAAGTAGGCGATGTACGGCTGGAACCAGCTGCGGTATGGCAGGGTTTCCCGGGCAATGCCTTGGGCGTCGAGAGCCTTCTTAAAGCGGACGAAGGTGAAAGTGACGACGGAGAAATTGATGAGCTGGGAGGCGGTGACCTGGATTTGGGATTAGTTGAGTGCATGGGGTATTACATGGGACCGGAGGTGCGCATACCAGATTGACAAACCAGTTTAGCACGACTGATGCACCGTTGGATACCTGCAAGAAACTCAAGAGCCCGATAATGAGCACCACGATAACACAGTAGACGGGAACACCGTTCTTGGTGCACTTGGTAAAGAGCTTCGGGGCTTTGCCCTCAAGCGCTAGACCATACAGACTGCGACTAGCACAGTACATGTAACTGTTGCCCGCGCTGAACGACGCAGTGAGAATGATGGCGTTGACGATGTCCGGCAGGATGGGGATCTTCAGGCGATCCATAGAGATGACGTAGGGCGAGGCAGCAGCACCGGGCTTGCCACTGTCGAAAGCATCGGCCATGGTTTGATCGTTGTACGGGACAAGAATACCGACGCAGAGAACACCCAGAACAAAGAACGCTGTGAGACGGTAGAAGACACCGTTGAATGCCTTGGGCAGCACCTTGCGCGGGTTAACGGTCTCACCAGCGGCCATGGAGACATAATCAGGACCGGCGATGGTGAAACTGGCTGTGATGACAGCTGCGAGGACACCGAGGAACTTGCCGGTATCGCCTGTCTTGTAGAACTCGTTGAAGGCACCTGGTTCGTTCCAGTACCGGAAGCCGAACCGATCGCCGAGCGGGTTTCCGCCCAGCATGACGACGAATGTGTAAAGGATGAGGCCTACGCTCAACAAGACCTTGCCGAGTGAGAGCCAGAACTCTGCTTCGCCGTACCATTTCACAGCAAAGAGATTCAGTACTCTATTTCCCATTTATCAGCCGGTATCTCGTGCGCGGATCGCAGAAGACGACAAACCCATAGAGTACGATGACAACCACATTCATGGCTGCGACGGGAATCACATCGGTCCAGTATCTAATAATCAAGCTGACGGCGACAATCTCGAAAGGCACCAATGCCGCCTCGAAAATAAAGAAGTTATATCCAGCGGCAACACCTAAAGCTTCATCGACGTAGCGGCCGGCGAATCGAATGAATGGCGAAGAGATAGGCAGGTACGTGACCATTTCAGCCAAACCTAGAAAAAGAAAATGTGAGTTTGGATGTCATACTACGTATCCAGATGGGAAAACAAGATGGGAGGAATATTGCAGCAATTGGGCGATCGGTCGACGTTAGGGCAGGCTGAACCATTGGCGCATTTGGGATTATATGGGATACGCTTCCAGGCACGGGACTGCTGGGGAAGATGCAAAGGGCTTGGGAAGCATGGGGGGTGTTCGTACAGACGGTGATGATCAAAATCACACAACTCCTAGAGAACAGTATAAGATTGCGAACCTTCAATGAGATATACGCAGGAGACAAGGGCATCATGGACTGGGTTTGGTTCTTGGGTGTCCGACTGGCTTTCGGCAGATGCATGGGCAGACATAGGGCTAATGGCGATTTGGGCGACATTCATACATCTGTTCGGCATGGAAGTGCCTCGGGCTAACAGTATCCTACATCCTTGGGGGATCTGAAGTTGTGGTATCAGGCTTCGAATCCTGTTTGCCGATGCTTTGGTTTGGTCGTGTGGTCCCTTATTTTTTGCATCTTTCTGGATTTCTTTTTGAAATTTTTTTTTCGTTTTTGATCCATTGGCGGGGTTCGTTTCCATTCCTGGCATCTCCACCTACTTACCGTCCATGTTGATGCTGTCGAACGTAGCAAAGTCGGGCCCAGGTCCAGAACCCAATAGAGTCAACAAAACAATGTAACAAAGGAAATACTAACCAAAGACTGAATCCAATGAACAAACTGCCGGGGCCACTGGTCCGCAGTCCAGATCCGATCTGAACGTACAGGGCCGTGCCAATTGTTCCTCCAATTCCAATCAATTGTACATGGCGGGGCTTGAGCTTGCGATGAGTATGATCATATGTAGATTCCATTGACCCGCTATCGACTGAGGTCATGCGATTGGCGCTGAATGAGTCCTTCTCGGTGACTTCCATCTCTTTGTCCATCTTGGTGGGCTTCGATTCGGGATCGGACTGTCGCGTGGGCTCCGCGCTCTGTATAGCGGCGGTCATTGGAGTATGAGAGCCATACCCCGAGTTGGGAGAATGTGACATCTTGAAGGTCTTCGAATTTCCAGCAAAGATCGAGTCAATAGCATAAATAAGTGCGCAAAAGGATCCAGACCGAGATTTCTTTTTTTTAAAAAAAAAGAAGAGAAAAAAAAGAGAAAAAAGCAGGACTGAGAGATTTTTTTTTCCTAGCTAGGTAGTATTTTCCTGTTTTGCCTTAGTGGGAATCAGAATCTCGGCTTGCAAGGCTATAGGCGTAGGCCGAAGTAAATAAGAGGGACAAATCAGAGAGGGACGGCTCCCCAGTCTGAGGTTCATTTTTATCCCCACATGGCCCCTCTAGGGGGAAGGGGGGGGAAGGATTGGGGTCAGGATGTGCGCCTATTAGGTTGCATATTTCGACCTGCAGCTCTAACTCAAGAGGCTATTCGCAGTGATAACATATACCTGTCGAAAAGTACAGGCAAAGAAAAGTAGCAAAGTATTTTCTGTGCGCGTAGGGAGATTATAATAATCTAAGTCCCCGCGGCTATCCCGTCCACAGGTGTGGAGATGGATTATGCCGAGGTCCACGGAGAATGGAGGTTATCCCCTATATACAAAAATTTCAAGACATTCTGAAAGCAAATCAATAAGAGTGCATATAGTACGGCTGGCGTTAGATTGAACATGAATCCCCGAAATTAACGCCACATTCCTATGTGCTTCTCTTGCAAGCACTAGTGCTAGCGTCTCTAGTGCCGTCGAGGTTGCCACCCGTATTTTCGCTTGACGGTCTCTGCTCTGAGTCTTTTCCGATCCAAGTTGGTGGAAAGAAGCCATCGTTGTCTTCAAAATAGAGGTAGTGGATCACATCAGAGTCTGTAGAATTCCGGCGATGATTTGGATCGTCATGCGCGAGATGTTCGGTAGCAGAATTTGGATGCGGATGCGTGTCGGAGAACATGTTGAATAACAGTACTCCACCGAATTGATATTGCAGAGTGTGATAAAAGACAATCTAACAGTTGAGGCTGTGGAACTCCAAGCTCTGGAGGTCAGGTGCCTAGGTTTATCTTGACGTCATATGAGACAATTCCCTATCAACCTACATCCATGTACTTAGTTGCTAACCTGATTGGGGCAAAATAAGAGAAGCTGTATATAGAGATACGTGTATCAATCTGCCAAAATGGGTAGTCGATCACGGTCTTAATTGGGTTAAATCTAGTATATATTTTTCGTGGGGACCATGATATATGCAAATGTGAAGGGCAAGGATATAATTCAAGGATATAATTCATCTATGTTTACTATATAGAAGAGGAAATAGAATTACCCGAGGCCTAGATACTATACAGAGTGCTCCATTCATATTCCAAAAACAAAATAAAGGAGCTATGTACTCCGCTAACCTCGGGATCAATCAGAGAGCGGACAGTAAGCAGCTCTGAAGCCTTCGGGAAACCCCACCCCAATATCTTTTTTTTGCCCCCTCAACTTCATATCTCCAACAATTACAATGGCCGAACAAGAGCAATCTAAGCGTTTTGCGCCCAAGGTGGCAGTCGAGCTCAACCCGCCCAAGGACGACCCTATTTCCGTCGAGGAATTGGCCAAATGCGACGGTACGAGAGTTTACCCCTCACCGATTCCTTCCAATCCCTTATTCCCAATGCGCCTAGCTTAAAAACCACTGCTAATGACTACTGCCTGACAGGTTCCGATCCTAGCCGTCCGACTCTGGTCGCCATCAAGGGCGTTGTCTTCGATGTGACCCGGAATCCGGCTTATGGGGCCTCGGGTTCATACCGGGGTGAGTACAGCATCTATCTTATGCAAAGCATAATCAACAATGAGACTGATTGTTCTTTTCTTCTAGTCTTCGCCGGCAAGGATGCCTCCCGTGCTCTTGCTTCATCCTCTCTCAAGCCCGAAGACTGTGTACCTGAGTGGTATGACCTACCGGACAAGGAAAAGACCGTCTTGGATGAGTGGTACACTTTCTTCAGCAAGCGGTATAACATTGTCGGCAAGGTCGAAGGCGCCAAGAACACTTAAGGAGCTTCACATGGATCGAATATGCGACATTATATATACCCACTAGGAGAAATGGAATCCATTATCAAATATCAAATCCATGCTTTTCATTTTCGAAATGGTGGTATCGCGTAGGTACAAAGAACAGTTCTTTCCTCTGACTGCTGGGATAAACAATGCCTATACATTAAAAAACTAACATGTAACATTCACGCCTTTAATTCCCCTTACGGGACTTGCGCTTCATGCGCTTCTGTCCGATAATGCGGTTGCGCTTAGCGGCCTTGTCCTCCTCTTCAGTCACCTTCTCATCTTTGGCGCCATTTCCATGTTCAGTCTTGCCACGCTTCGCGTCCCTTCCATCTTTGCCATTGCGACCATCTCGTCCACCTCGTGCATCTCTTCCATCCCTGCCTTTGCCATCACGGGTATCGGAGCGCTTCCTCTTCTGACCCTTGTCTCCCTTTGGCTCAGCATAATCCTCGCGCTTGGGTTCACGGGATTTAGCCTGCAGCTCATTACGGCGCTTAACGACCTGGGCGTTCTCAATGGCGAACTCAACAACGAGGCTCTTCTTCTTATCCCGGTCCTCGGGGGTTTGGGTAGAAGGAGGAACTGGCATGGAGTGGCAGTTCAGCCAGCGCAAACTCATCAGCGCGTGACGGTGAGTGAAGAACTCGATGAATCCGTAGCCACGACTGCGACCACCTCCAGACTTCTCAGAGACCTTGGTACCCTCGCGAGTCTCGAAGACGACCTTAGCCTGGCGCACAATACCCATCTTCTTCTGCTTGCGCAGCTGCTCTAGCTCCTTCATCGTATCGCGGGATCGCTGCTGCTCCTCTTTTGAGAGCGGATGGCGGGTGCCCGCCTTGACATCCTTGGCGAATTCGACAACAGACTCTCGGGCAAGCTTCTTCAATTCCTTAGAGTCGATGTGACGGGGGAGGTTACGGATGGCGAGACGGGTGAGACTGAGGTGGAGAGCTGGGTTCTTCTTGATGAAGGTCTCGCGTTGCTTGTAGCTGTCCTCGCGCATCTTGATTTCGGAGGGCGAGAGCTTCTTGTAAAGTGGGGAGTTGGAGGGGATCGTACCCTCGTTGAGGAGGTACAGGTGGCGCTTGTCCGTGTCGCGGACCAAACGGCGTGATGCTCCTTCCTCTTCCAGCTTGCTGGCTTGGCCCTTGCTCACGGCCCGTGCGACTTGTAGGACGCGGCCATCCAGGGTGTAGCGGCCGCTGGGGTCGGAGTTTTCATCGTTAAGGACGGAGTGCTTCATCGCGGTGCTGGACTTAGGCTTGTCCTTGTTGGGGGCCATGGATTCCGCTCCTCGGGGAGCTTCACGAATGCATGTGTTGGCGTCCTCAGGCTTCCAGAAGCAGACGAATCCAGTGCCACGAGGGCGCTCAGTCTCGTAGTCCAGGACTACACGTGCGTAGCGTAGCGGTCCAAAGTGAGTTTTGAAGTGGTCGTAGAGGGTCTGGTCTGTGGCGGTGAAGGGGAGGTTGCGAATGAAGATTGTAGTGGCATTTCGGTCATCCTCCTCGTCTTCCTCCTCGTCATCCAGCTCATCCAGCTCATCCAAATCCTTGTCCTCATCGTCTTCTTCGTCTTCATCGGAAGAGGTTTCGTCGTCTGAGGGCTGTTCCAGAACACCCTCGGCATCTTCCATCTCAACATCACTGGACTCCTTCTCTTCCTTCTGCTCCTCCACCTCCTCGTCTTCCTTCTTCGTGGTTTCCCAGACGTCCTTCTCGACAGCCCAATCGACAGCGAGTTGACGTCCATCGATTTCCTTTCCGTTGATCATCTGGAGCGCCCTCTCGGCGTTTTTCCTGCCACGCATGGTAATGAAACCGAAACCGGAAAGTTTTCCGTTCCTCTTGGGGAGGGTAACAAACTTGACCTTTCCAAAGCTGCGGAACAGGACATTCAGATCCTCGGGCTCCTTGATGCTCCACGGCAGATTGCGAACAATAAGCTTGGGTGGCAGGCCCTGCCCTCTCTCCTCTTCCTTCTGTTTCTTGCTCTCGCGTGACGCAGCAGTGGGAACACTGCGTCCAATCTTCTCATCAATCTCACGCTTACGAGACTCGGCATAATCGACGCGAATGATTTTCCCGTCAAACTTGGACCCGTTGAGTTCCTTCAGAGCGCTCTCCGCATCCTCGACGTCGGCGAATGTAACAAAACCGAATCCCTTGGATACCTTTGTCTCTTTGTCGCAAACGACAACAGCGTGCTTGATAATGTAGGACTGCGAGAAATGTTCTGCGAGGCTCTCTGTCGTGGCCGAGGTGGGTAGTGAACGGACGAAAAGAGTTCTCTTGTTCTGTGCTGCGGAGGCCTCGGCGGCGGGTGTAGTGGCCTCGACATTGACTTCCGGGCTCTCATCGCCCGAGAGGCGTCGTTTCTTGTGTAATTCAACCATGGTGGCTTGGTTGCAACTGAGCCTTTTTTTTTTTGCGGTCGAGGAAGAACAAAAAAATTAGCGGCAGAAAACTGAGGCAGATTGGCCCAGGCGGTGTGGGTCCCATCCAGATAAGCAATAGCTTTATCGACTTATCAACTCTCCATTCATTGCTCTACTATTAACAACACATTGGTGAATGAGATGGATCCCCCGCGCCCAGAGAGCCGTATACCCCCTCGCACTTCAGACTCCCCCGCTTCAGGTGCATCTTCTAGACCGAAAGTCCAACAGCCGAAACCCCAAGCCCTCGCGAACCGTCCTGGTACTTCCGCGATTTTAGTGTCCACGCGCCAAAAGGGCAACCCCATCTTGACCCATATAAAGCTCCTACCCTGGGAGTATGCCGACATCCCCGCGGACTATGTGGTTGGTACCACAACATGCGCAATGTTTCTCTCCTTAAAATATCATCGCCTACACCCAGAATACATCTACTCCCGAGTGAAACAACTAGCAGGCAAATACAACCTCCGCCTTGTACTGGTGATGGTTGACATTCAAAACCATGAAGACAGTCTCAGAGAGCTGTCTAAAACATCCATCATCAACAATCTGACCTTGATATTGTGTTGGTCTGCACCAGAGGCTGCGCATTATCTCGAGCTCTTCAAGTCATCAGAGAACGCACAGCCCACCGCCATTAGAGCCCAACAGGCCCAATCCTACAAAGAGTCGCTGGTTGAGTTTGTCACGGTTCCCAGAAGTATCAACAAGTCCGATGCCGCAAGTTTGATCTCCACGTTCGGCAGCTTGCAAAATGCCATCAATGCACAGCCGGAGCAGATCAGCGCCGTGCCGGGTTGGGGAGAGAAAAAGGTCCAGCAATGGTGTCATGCTGTTCGAGAAGATTTCAGAGTCGAGAGCACGAAGAAGACCTCTGCTCCTGCCATACAACGCCAGGCTCAACTGCTAGCCGAGAATGAGGGTGAGAGGATTGATGATAATATGGGCGAAGAAGATGAAGAAGAGGCCATTCTTCGTGAAGTTCTAGCTGAAAGTAGGAAAACAGCAGCTATGCGGCCTACTGAGCCACTGGCCCGAGGTCAGCAGACTGAAGAGGTGAGTGAAGGCATCGCGGCCGCACTTGCCAGGCTTAGGGACAATGCCGGTTGACAGCCGATCTGCTTTGCCTTCACTACACATCCGCTTTCAAACATCACAACTTCTAAAGATGGACATCGCTGTCGCTACGTGACTGTTAAATACGGCACCTCTTATACAAACCTTGGAACGTCGTCCTCAGTAGGGACGCGAGGACGCAATTGCATTCTTGTGCATAGCTGGTACAACTTGAACAAGCTGGGCGACCTCATGGTTGTGATATGTGATCTATGCCCGATATATGGATCTAGCTCACGGAGCCAACCACTCCTTTCATATCCCTAGCTAGCTGTATATCTCACATCTCGCGCAACCTTCGCCCATGGCTGGGCATGATTCTCTTCCAATGCCCAAGAGTTCACCGTGTCGCCCAGTTTGTCTGACATGGAAATCTGGAGCATCCTGAATATCATGATATTATGAATACTTTGTCTTTTTCCGCCAGGCTAGGACTTTTGTCATGAGTTTCCTTATTGTTTGCGGCCTCGCGGCCTTTCGATACCGGGGACCGTCCACCTCTCTTAAACCAAAATATTTTTCCGTTCCATTGTATCCCCCCTACTTGGGTATATTGATAAGGCTATCTTGATTCCAATCAAACTCATCTGTTACTACTACTACATTCCGAACATCCTTCTTCATATGCCGTGTTTCCGCCGGTTATAAATTGGCCCCCTGTCTTTCCCAGGGGGCTAGATTTGTTTTCTCTGTTGGATACCCTTGATCCTTGTGTTTTCACTCAACTAGGTGATATGTGAATAATAGAAGAGTCGGCTGGTGAGATACTAGCCTCCTTCCAAGGTTGCAATACGACAGATGACCAATCACAAGATTAGTCAGCAGGTACGGCCAACGATCTCAGGTCGGTGGATTCCTGGCCACTTGATGATCATGAGTTCTCCGCGCTGAGGTATTTCGGCGTAAGCCAAATCTAGAATGATATCAACATGTCTATTCATTTGGACCATTCAAAGGGTCGCTCAAGAGTCCTCCCGAGGTCAAGGCTAGGATGCAGAACTTGCAAGTAGGTGCCTCTTTTCCATAGACAGCAGGGCTTGATATTGAGCGTGTCGTAGAATTCGACGAGTCAAGTGCGGAGAGGAAAAGCCCAGCTGTATTCGGTGTACCAGTACAGGTCGCAAATGTGACTTTGAAGACACACAGCCCTCTTCTACATTGTCGGTCATCGCCAACCCCTCATCATTATCACCAAACACCAATATGGTGTGGCGAGAGCGCCGTGCATTTGCCTATTATTTTGAATATGCTGCCTCCTCCATTGGTGGGGGACTGGACGTTGATTTTTGGCGCACTGTCGTCCCGCAGGTTTGCCGCTATGAACCTGCTGTATGGGATGCCATCATCACCATCAGTGCGCTATTTGAGTCTCCCAAACAATGCCCGGATCTCGTGCCACATCGCCGCGATAATACTGCCACTCTCACTCAAAACCGTCAAGACGCCTTGGGTTGGTACTCGCGCTCGGTATCTGCTGTTCGTCAGCGCATTGAGCAGGGTAACGTAGACGTCTTTATCGGACTGATAAGTTGTGTGCTTTTCATCTGCATTGAGGCCATCCAGGGAAATGCAGACGGGGCATTGCAACTTTATCGTCAAGGTGTGCAGCTGATTATTACTTTACGTCCCCAAATAGTATCTGGGGCTGCGAGTAAAGCTTCCTTGTTGGAAGATACAATTATCCCGATCTTCATCCGCCTAGGAACATTTGCTCTTGCAGGTGGTGGGGCTCCAGTAACTGCTTTACTACGAGACACTGAACATGCCTTGATACCACAGTTTGACTCACTCAAGTCTGCTCGGGAGGCGATCGTGCTCTTAGCTATAGAGGTCCCGCTCTTTGAAAGCACTTGCACCAAGCACTTGGTGGAGGCCAATGCCTCCCAGGTGCCTGAGGAATTCAATACTAGACTGTTCAGTCTGGCAGCCAGACTGAGGAACTGGCATACTGCCTTTGATAAGTTGATGACAGTTCTTCGAGCCAAAGACATTTCATCACAGCAGCACATTGGTACCGCTGCCCTTTTGCTGAGCTACTACGATATGCTATATATCATGCTCGAGACCTGTACATCCTTGTCATTGATGCAATTCGACGCTTATCTACCAAACTTCCAAAATATCGTTGAACAATGTGCCAATGCACGCGAAGCCTCGGTGCGACCAGACGGCAGCCAGCCTCCATTTACATTTGAAGTCAACGTTGGTCTTCCACTTTGGTTTACCAGTCTCCGATGCCGTGAACCACGTACCCGACGCGCGGCACTGGATCTACTCCGCCAAGCGCCCTCGGTGCAAGGATTTTATGAGTGCTCAATCTGGGCAACCGTGGGGCGAACGATCATGGTGCTAGAAGAATCACGTGCAATGGCAAAGAACGCAGCTCATTATACGCCCGGTCTTGGTGCACTGGAGCCAACAAGTGGACCAAGTCCTGGTTCCGAACTTGCCCCAATATCATATTTTGCTGATACGGATATGAGACCTAGAATACCAACAACGCTGCTTATCCCAGAGGAGGTGCGCATTGGACCCATCACTGCTTTTCGGCCAATGGACGGTTTTCCTCCTGGGACCACAGAGGCAGATATCGCGAAGTGGAACCGGGGCCCTGATCAATTATTTCTGCGCTTCTCCCGGCATGAGCGCGGTCTGACTGGCGATTCTTGTCGGATGGTGTACGAATACACTCCCCTTGACTTTTCCCCTTGACTTTTGCTCATAGTATGCATACGTTCGATGTGAGCTGGGGTGTAGTATTGATCGATTGGTCGCAGAGTTTGGGCTTTCAGGGCAACTGGGCTTTAGCATTGTCTAGTATGTAATAATATATCCATGTGATTCAACTACTCTAGGTAGTTTCTCCATATATGACCTCCATCTATCTATCTTAGGACAGAGCAGGGCTGGCCAGCTATGAATATCCCATCTTTCAGGAAATAGCAGAGAACTCGCGACTGTAAAAACACAATTTTCAGTTCCTGTCAGTTCAACTACCACTTCCTTTGCGTAGCTTTTTCCTGCATACGCCTTTGGCATGGGAATTTCTACGATGAAATAGAATCGTCAAGTACCCACAGTGATAGTAACCGTGTGTGCTAGAGCTCAACGGATTCCTTTGAGGTGCCGCCTTTGTTGAGATATACATGTGTCATTGATTATGTGCACATTGGTCTATTTAATCAAGCCAGGCTTGTAAAATATCCTGACAATTTGGATCCCGTCGTTCTTTCCCTATTCATCATCGGAGTCACATTGTGCGGCACCCTGATGCTAGTATAAACCTCCTCACGAAAAGTCTTGAGAGATGAAACACATAAGGGAAGTTGAAGTTGAACTCTCTGACTTTTCGCACCATTTTCTTTTCGTGGCGAATACAATCTTTTCTATATGATGACTGCTTTCGGGATCTGCTTTCTTTCTCCGACCACCTTTCAGAAAGACTTCGCCTACAATTCCAAATCCTTTAATCTAATTCTTGATTGGGGATTTACTAGTCTTCCTGTTGCTCTGTTTTATCCCGGCAACCTTCTCCATATAAAACAATTCTACAAGTTTAGTAAATTTTGTGAGGTCATTTCACCGCATACGATCAGTTCTCTCACAAGGCCTGGTTCCAGGGGGCTCAAACAAGTGTGATTGTGTGTTGGGAGGGAGGAACTACAAAGGCAAGGGCCGATTATAAAGATATATATCTTCCATTTCTGACATTCGGACCTGATGAATCTTAAATCATTCATACCCAGCAAGACATTGATCTATAACGCTATATAAAGTGCGCCCGGAAAGGTGGAAAGCACCATGGCTCGAGAACTGAAGCGTTAAGATCGGTAGGTTTTGAACACTCTCTTCGAAAATAGGATTGCTGTATCTCTACAAGACAACATTGCTTGCAACGTGCGAATAAAGGCATTACAATCAAACAGCAAGCATTAACAGACTGCTCTGGGCCCTTGTTTCCGCGGTCATCACTCATTAGCTATGGGATCCCATCCCGCACCTCTTCATTTCTCATCACCGACATATCTATCCGACTACAAATCACGCTCGGTAACAAGATGGACAAGTACGTGTGGCATTTTCAAAACCTTTCTAAATAGTTCTCACATATCAGTTGGATGAATGCTACTGATGACTGAAATTGTACAGCAGGATCAACATGACGAGCTGATGGCTCGTCTAAGTGTACTAGCCTCCCACGAGACAGACTTGCGGGCTGCCCTCGACCTAGAATATTGCGTCGAATATTGCACGGAGGAAGGACCGGTTAATGAAACTATGGGCTCAATGCCTCTGGATCTCTTGAAATCATACTTTGGAAATAACGCAGCAATACTTTGGCCAACGGGCTACTCCAAAATTGTGGAAGAAAGCGGAAAAGGATCGGCGAGTAAGCGAGGAAAAAGCAAAGAAAATTTGCTATCCAACCCCCAATTACACGTAATACAGCAGATATCTTCATGAATGGGTTTTATTTCACCTAATCTATATGGTGGTCAGCTCTCGGGCAATTGAAGCTAGGATGTATATCGCGGCTGTGGTTTGATCCGTGCGTCGAGAAACCCTAGCTTGAACATAAAATTTTCTCTTTACCTCCAATTTATGTTCTTCTGTCTTTCCAACTGATCATGTAGCTTTCTCTGATAGGATCGGAATAATTTAGCAGTGGATCCTCTGTGGAAAATGCGCAATTTCCGATCGACAAGGAAAAGTGGCGTGGGCCGGCTCATGAACGCACGAACATAGAGGATCTTATCTTTTCTTTTTCTTATTTTTTGTTAACCGCCTGTGGAGAGTCTAGGGATTGGATCTCCACATATCCAGGAGTGGTCCCTGGAGTACTTTGACTAGTTGCTTTTCAGTTAGTCCCCAATACAATACGAACCCCGATTTCGGTGCTTGTTTACTATAAGGGAAATGAGACCCTATATATCCACGTGTAGTCCGACCCAAATTACCCAGCCTCTAGACAGCTTTTGACTTCTCCAGTCGACCATAATGAGTGTTCGTCCTTTGATCCGAAGAGCGCGAATCGTGTTGCGCCGCATATCGACTGAAGACAGTAACAATGATTCTGCACATAACACGGCCCGTGATGCCAAAGATGGCCCTCGAAGTCCCAGAAGCTCTGTAGCACTCGAGGAAATACCCGATGGGAGTGCCCAGCATGGTGTTCAAGACGTCGAGGCAGTGACGATGGCGTGGACGAGGGGTGCTCTAATCGCAGTCTTCATCAAGTATGTATCCGGTTACCTTATTTTGTATCCCGCATCAAATGCCGCAACCAATGTTTTGAAAAACACTGACACATGACCCGAATAGCATCTGGTTCATTTATTTTGTGAATGCGTTTCAGTCTACGGTTACCGTCACCCTGAACCCGTATGTGACAAGCTCATTTAAAGCACATTCGCTGTCCGCGGTTCCCACAGCTTTAGGCGATGTCTTTGCCGCTGCTACCTATCTACCTGTCGCAAAAATGATGGATGTGTGGGGTCGTGCAGAAGGATTTCTCCTGATGGTTATATGTACAACGATCGGCTTAGTTCTCATGGCAACCTGTAATAGGCTTGAGATCTACTGCGCCGCCAACGTGAGTTTAAATATTACATGCTATTTGTTGGTTTGTGCGAATTCTTACTGGGAGGCTAGGTCTTTTACTATGTCGGTTTCTACGGTATGGAATACGCAGTCGACGTTATGACAGCCGACGTTTCGACCTTGAGAAACCGTGCTTTCGCCTATGCATTTACTACCTCCCCCTATATTATCACGGCATTTGCGGGACCCAAAGTGGCGAATGAATTCTACTACCGGATCTCCTGGCAATGGGGCTTTGGCTGCTGGGCAATCGTCGTTCCTATCGTGGCGGCTCCGCTATACATTGTCCTGAAATGTAACCTGCGCAAGGCGGAGAAAGAAGGATACCGAATCAAGAGACCAAGTGGTCGCACGGTACTAGAAAGTATCTGTCATTGGACTGTTGAGTTTGATGGTAAGGACTTCATGCGAATTCTTACCCTGAACGAAAGCAAGCAAGATTCTAACTTAGAGCGCTAGTGTTTGGTGTCTTCCTGTTCACTGCTGGTCTTGTGTTGTTTGAACTCCCTTTTGACCTCGCACATTACGCCCCCGATAACTGGGCTTCTGGCTATATTATTGCCATGCTCGTTGTCGGGTTCTGTATGCTTTTCTTCTTCGCGATCTGGGAAAGGTGGCTGGCTCCAGTGCCCCTGTTCGAATGGCGACTTCTTACGAACCGCACTATTGTCGGTGCAGTCCTCTTGGATGCAACCTATCAGCTCTCGAACTTTTGCTGGAGTTATTATTTTACGTCCTGGCTGCAAGTCAACAATGACCTATCCATTACCACTTCCAACTATATTGTCAATATTTTTGATATGGTCTCTGGTGTGCTTTTGCTAGCTATAGGCTGGCTAATTCGGAGAGTTGGTCGGTACAAGTGGACTCTATATATTGCGGTTCCGCTCTACATCTTCGCCCAGGGCTTGATGATACACTTCCGCCGGCCTAACATGAACGTTGGCTATCAAGTGATGTGCCAAATCTTCCTTGCTATCGGTGGTTCAATCTTTATTCTGGTCGAGCAGCTTGCTATCCTAGCGGCTGTCGACCACCAGCATGTCGCTACAGCGCTAGCCCTATTGAATGTGGTTGGCACTATTGGCGATAGTGCAGGTCTCACCATCAGTACCGTCATCTGGCAAAACACATACATGAAAGCTCTTGTTCAATACCTCCCAGAGTCGGCTATGCCGAATTTGGACACTATTTACGAGGATCTCGTCACACAGCGGAGCTACGCTGTTGGAACTCCCACCAGGCTGGCAATACAGAACGCATATGCCTACGCGGAACTTCGACTACTTGCTGTAGGATGTGGGATTATAGTTCTGACGATACCTTGGACTTTGTTGATGAAGGATATCAATTTGAATAGGAAGCCACAGGTCAGGGGTACGGTCTTTTAGGATACCAATTAGTATGAGATTGTATAGAATTTTACGCGTCTGGGAATGGTACTCTTCAACCCCTGTATAGTTGCGGGCATGACCAATTAAGTCACCTCAACCTTGAAAGTTCTGAAGGGCTCTGACCGCGTGGCCCAGTGGGGGATAAATGACGCTGCGGATCCTCTCTGTGCCAATAAACTTAGAGCTTCCCAGTAAGTTTCGGATCAGATAACCAAAGCCCCTCCGATCTTGGCCAAAGGTGGTTAGAGGTGGGTCTGTGACAGGGGCTAGTAAAATCCGAGGGTTAATGCAACTTGCTGATCGTGGGAACTCAACCCGAGGTCTCAATCCGAGGTCGGACGATGGTCTTTGTCGTAGGGCCAGAAATTAACGCGAGCTAGTATAAGCGGAGTGCTTCGTTAGTACACCGTAGTGGAAATACCCCACTACCCAAATGCCATTATCAATCTGTGGGCCTCGCCCTTTGACCGCAGTTCAGACACAATACCATGTGACCACAGAGATACAAGCAGAAGTGTGGGTCGGATGACATTTGATCGAATTCTTCCATGGCTTTCTTGTTGCGATGGATCAAACAGACGCAAAAGGGCGGAGGGACTCTGGATCTCACGATATCACATCTCCGGACAAAGTTGTTTGTGAATACCGCGGAAGCGTGGAGATTGTTAGGGCCGGAACTCTTGCCGCGCTCGTTGAAAATCTGACGCGCCACGACAAGCTCGACGGTTCCTTCAACCGGATCTTCTTCACTACTTATAAATATTTTACCTCTGGGACAGAGCTCCTTGAGCTCCTTATTGATCGATTTGATTGTTCGCCTCCCATATTCAACGCCTCAACGACGGCAGAATGGTCGACTCAGACAAAGCCACTGATTCGATTACGCGTGATATATGTTTTGAAGCAATGGCTCGAACATTTCTGGTCGGAGCCAAAAGGCAATGATACAGATCGAAAATTGCGAATACTACAGTCATTTGCAAAGCGCGCCACGGATGTCACCGAGACAAGCGCGACACAACATCTTCTCAAAATTATCCAGCGCCGACTTGCGGGTATCGATGGCCAGAGAAGATCACTATCATCTATCTCAGCCCCGCCAAAGCCAATCCTGCCACGGAAATTAGACAAGCTCCAGTTCCTTAAACTCGATGCCAAGGAGATTGCTCGGCAGCTGACTATTATGGAAGCGCATATCTTTGGCAAAGTACAGCGAGATGAATTGTTAAACAAAAACTGGCAAAAGAAACAGAGCTCCAGTACACCTGAGCTAGCTCCAAACGTCAGGGCTTTGATTCAGTATTCCAATCAGCTTTCTAATTGGGTCTGTGCCTTAATACTCGCAGAATCGGAATTGAAAAAGCGGACTCAGGTGATAGGGCATTTAGTCAATGTGGCCAACGTACGTTGTAATCTCTAATCTCACTCTTGTAATTCTTCCTATATGCTGATTTTCATCTATTGCAGATATGTCATCAACTCCATAATTATTCTGCGGTAGTCTCTATCCTGTCAGGCCTGGAAAGTGCCCCAATCTACCGGCTTGCTCGCACTTGGGCAATGGTCACCGAACGTAGTTGCGATACACTAAGGCCCTTGCAAGCTATGATACTCAGTGCACACAATTACCAGGCCTACCGTGATACGTTACGGGTTGCAGTGCCACCGTGCATTCCTTTTCTTGGTCAGTTTTATTGTTAACAATTGAAATTACCGATGATTAACCTTTCAGCAGGTCTATTTTTGAAGGACCTGACATTCATTGAAGATGGAAACCCAGCCACTACACCAGAAGGGCTCATAAACTTCCACAAATATACTATGCTAGCATCAACCATTCATGAGATTCAGCGTTTAAGAGAAGCCCCTTACTCCTTACAACCCGTGCCGGAGTTGCAGGAATACCTTGCGACTCAGCTGCAGTCAGCTGTTGATGTACATGAAATGTGGGACAAAAGCTGCGAGCTGGAGCCTCGAGGCCGGGGTCTTGGAGATAGACCCCGGGACCTATATACCCCAACAGGAGGCATGTTAGCGTCTATGGTAGTCGCTTGCATGGTCCTGGATGATTGATTTACGATTTCCAACCTATGAATTCGATTGGTCAACAGTGCATTGCGTGTCATTGAAGAAGCTAAAGGTAGTGCAGATTTCCACATGGATACTCGGCGCTCAGCAGAGATCCTCTGATAATTGGAAAGGTCAATTTAACCAGTGCACAACATGGAGGTTCCCGTGTGCATAGCTGTTGTAGTCTTCAATATTCAAATGAAGGGACATTCCAGTATTGAACTGAACCCTGCGAGGACTTTGAACTTTTGCCTTGATAACCAACACTTACCATGCGTACTAAAGCCAATATACAAAAGCAGTGTTTGGTTGGACCGAGAATGGGTCGGGAAAGCTTTCTACCCTCTCATGCTAATGGGCTTCACACTCACGTATAACTACATGTTATGACTCGGCACCAACATCAACCTTGGAAGAAAAGACGCGGCACAACCATCAGATTCAGCGCGATGATACGGGGTACTCAAAGCTGAGCCAAGGTTATTTTTTCATAGAGTGAATCCAATAGATCAGAAATGAGTCCCGCTGTAAGATGCAATTGCGGTGAATATGGGCTCCGCCGGGCCATGATACCTTCCGTTTCAGGTCGTGGTCCGGGCAGTTATGTGTTAAATGGCGTTCACTATCTATACTATTCTCTAGTATTAGGTCGCAGAAGACTCTCCCCGGACTGATTTAGATTGATCTCGGGATACACAAACACAGAAGAAACTCCGGTCCTCGGATGTTATTTGAACGACCAAGCATGAAATGCATGGGAGAGCTCCGACGCTTTGCAAGGGTTCCCTGCGTTAGCTATCAAACATTCATACTATGGATCATTGGTTAGGGTAGGACAAGTTGATCGATAGATAGTTTGCAAGGTATTGACAGTGCTTTGGGGTGTTTTGAAATATTAGGAATGGAATGCGATATGAATACACATGTATATGGCGCTGAAATAGAAACTCAGATCTAATTCAGATATGGTACGAAAGTGAAATTGATTGAGCTCCGATGAAATATGTTTTTGTTTATAAAATGTCAGCATGTACCAAGTCAAATGTGTAGATAGCTAGCCCTAATTGAAGAGCTAATCATCACCATGCGCTGTGACCAAGCTCTTTGGTTTATTTTCTTTGCATCATCATCTATTGGCACCCCATTGCCTTCGTATACATCGAAAGAATCTCATGATACTCCAGACATCTTTAAACCCCTATTCAACACATCCTCAAGTCGCGCTCCCTTTAGCACAGACATATACCAAGAGCTATCTCTGCTCGAAGCCAAGATATCAGATATCGCAACAGGTAAAATCAAGCCTGTCTCAACCGTCGAAAAAGGCCTCTCAGCCCTTTCCTCGATTCCACACACCAACAAGCCAACAATCCTCCAAAGGGCCATTGACATAGTATCCCTGGGTCTAGTGCCAACAACTATCATCGACCTCCTCAACGGCATAACAAACCATGAAATAAACTCCATAGCCAACAGCAACACAAAAGACCCAAGTCCACGAATCCACCCAGCAAAATCGTCCCACGACGCACCCTACAGCATCCCCGAAGCAACCCTCCGCAGCGCAATCTACATCCCACCAACCTTTTCCTATGGCAAAAACGACAAGATTCCCGTCCTTCTAGTCCCAGGAACTGCTGACCCAGCCGGTAGCACGTACTACTTCAACTACGCGAAGCTCTTCGCCGCAAACCCAAACACAGACCCAGTGTGGATCAACATCCCGGACAACTCGTTGGGCGACATCCAAAGCAACGCAGAGTACGTCGCATACGCAATAAACTACATCTCAGGCCTCTCGCGGTGTTCCATCGGGGTCCTAAGCTGGTCGCAAGGCAGCTTAGACGTGCAATGGGCTCTAAAATACTGGCCGTCGACACGGGCTGCGGTCAGCGACTTCATGGCTGTGAGTGGTGATTTTCATGGGACAGTTGTTGAGACGTTGTGCATGCTCGCCGAGCCGGTTTGCTCACCGGCTGTGCAGCAGCAGGGGTATGATACGAAATTTATTCGCGCTTTACGTGGTGGGGATGGGGATTCGGCGTTCGTGCCGACGACGAGCGTGTACTCTGGGTATGACTTTGTTGTTCAGCCACAGAGTGGGGAGTGGGCCTCTGCGGCGCTCCGGGATGTGCATGGGGTTGGGGTGTCAAATGTGCAGGTGCAGGTTGCTTGTGCAGGGCGTGCTGCTGGGGGGTTTTATTCACATTCGGCTATGCTGGTTAATCCGTTGGCGTATGCTTTGTTTGTGGATGCTTTGGTGCATGATGGGCCTGGGCGGTTGGAGAGGATTGATCTTAATGCTGTCTGTGGGGAGTTGGTTGCGCCTGGATTGAATGTGTATGACTTCTTGGGGATGGAGGCTGTGTCGAATGTGGTTGGGGTGCTTGATGTGTTGTTGTATGGGTTTAATGGGAGTGAGCCACCGCTTCGGGACTATGTTCATCGCTAGGGTTGTCGTGAGTGTTGGGTTCGGGTGATCGACTATGGATTTGGGTTGAAGGCAACACCATACTCTGTATTCACCGAGGGTAAATCTATAGGTCCATACCGGACAGGGCTCTATGATACATGTACAAGGCCAAATGCTTCGAAGCCATTGGGTATTATTGTGTGGATCTCTAAAACGAAACTCAAAAGTCCGTAGAAGATCATCACGGCAACAAAAAACATAGTAGGAAACCTCCCCGACGCCAGCCCAGGCGACAAAACGACAATGAGTATGAATATGAAGGGAAAAAAACAAAAATAAAAACAAAAATAAAATGGATATAAGACCCGGCAAGCAGACTGAAGAGGATGTGCCGCAAACAAATCCTGGAAATTGCAGTTCATCGTAATTCGGACACTCCGTTGCAAGGCCAGGGCTGGCTATTCACACTGACACCAGGAGAATGGATATCACGGCACAGGGTATGTGGAAGAGTCATGGCATGCTAGGGAGCATCTCGAAATGGGAGTCATCAAATTTTGGTCAAGAGAGAAAATGATAAATGGAAAGTGGGCATTTAGGTAGGCTTTTCACATCCAATGCGGCCCAAGAGAGCTTTCCGATCACTCGGATCGAAATGAACACGACCAAGGCCTCGGGCGCGCACCGGGGCAGTGCCATTGGACCGCCGACGACCCAAGCCCGGAGCGTTTCCAGTTTCGATTGCGTCGGTAGGGGCACCGTCCCTAGCAGCCAGGTGGGGAGGAACGCGGGATGCGGTCTGGTCTTCGACTTCCACTTCGTCTTCCTCGTCGCTGCGGGTGTCTTCGGCGTTACGGCCGCAAACCACACCGTAGGCAACACGGACGATCATACTGAACCATACAATGGACAGTCCTTCAAGGACCAACAGGAGGCATAAGAACATCCATTTGAGAGTGGGGTTGAAGCAGATGGGGTTGTCCAAATTGAGGTATGGACCAAACATGTATGTGAAGGCATTCGGGGCCTCCGCTGAGATGAACTCGCCTGTCGAACCGGCGTAGCAGCCATAGGTGAGCTCCCGGGGGAGATCATGATAAACGGACCAGCACACCATGGGGTAAATGATGTGTCGGGTAATAAACCATGTGCCCATGAAGAGACCAAACCCAACATTGCAGGCTGTTTCGAACTTGGAGTATTTGAGGATCTTCGCAGACTGTGGAGGTATTAGTAGCTGTTTTAAAGCACTTGACGAGTTATTGATTGACGTACCGGTAACAAGAAGTCCACAATATCCATGAGGCATAGCACTACATTGGACACATTGTACATTGCGTAGATGTAGGCAGAGCTTAGTAGAGCACTGGTAATAATGTGGTGGGAGAGCATCTGTACATGGTCCTTCCGTCTCTCTTCCACGTGGATCACGAAGATCTGCTGCACGAGGAATGACAGCTCGACGAGAAGATACCACTTCATCAAGCCAGACAAAGGACGGGCGGGCCACTGCGACCACATGGCGGCGAAATCACCCCAATAGTATGACGTTTTCCAGAGGTACTGCAACGTAGAACCAGCGGTTAGTTATATATTCCCAAGTAGAGATGTATGTCGGCTGAACGCACCAATCCAACTACCCAGATGAACGAATAGTACATGACTTGCCAACCCTGCTCAGCAAAGCGAACCGACTGCTTGCGTTTTAAACCATAGGCGCGGGCCAATGGCTGTAGGACCCATTCAATGGCGATAGCGCGGATACCGGTGAGTGCAATAGCAGCACTGATGACGAAGTAGACATCGTTCCAGCCCTGGACGTATGAGTTCGAGGATTCGTTATAATAGGACAATTGGAAGAATGGCTGGGTATATGGGCGGAGCGAAGGATAGAGATTATGAAGAGCCAGCAACATAGCCAGGGTGGTCAAGGAGATTCCTGTAGAGAAGCAATTGGTGTTAGCGTTACCATTATTGTCAGGAAGTTTGGCGCATATTCCGGGGATTCAATTAGGAGCGCAACGACTCTGTGAGACACAGCTTTGCCTTCATCCCCCTGTAAATTCAGCATTGAGGTGTTCATACCGATCTGGTTGGCCACCACCCATTCACGGAACGTGGTCTCCTTGGCCGGTCGTAATCCACTTGGAGAGGAAACGTAGGCATTGCGCCCTTTTAGCTCTGGTAGCTGCGATGGCACAACTGTATCTGCCATGGTGGAGAGTGCACCAATAGTAAAGGGGATATTCGAAATTCCACGGAGGGCGGGAGAGGACCGGGAGTCGAGAACCGGGAGTCGAGAATCGGGAGTCGAGAGTCGAGAACCGGGAAGCCAAAATAATCAAAGTGGATGCGGAACCTGCCTCATCAGAACCTTTACTTTCTAAACTTGACTCGTTCAACCAGGAACGGGAGCAGTAATGTGAAAGTGCAAAATAATTCGTAGGAAAAAAGGAGGGAATAGAGGGGGAACGTGGTTATTTCGTTATTTCGTTTCATCTCTTCACGACGATCATCTCCACTCACCGCCTCGTTTAAATGTTGAATTCGAGATTGGATGTGATGCATGAAACTAAGAGATCTTGTCTTGGCTTGATATGATTTTTTACATATATTTTTTGGATATCTATATGAAATGTCAATAGTCTACCATTTCCGGTCTATTTATTTACACTTGCCACTCTGTTCGTATATCTTGGCACGGGATATGAGATAATAATAGAACCCATTTTTGTACATTATGTACGATGCATAGAACAATTCACTCTAAACCCTCCGTTACCTTTCGCACAAAATCATTGGCACTAACCCCTAATTGGGCCAAATCAATCCCACCCTGTCCAGCCATCACTCGTGACATAGCCCTAGCAACTTCTTCCTCCTCCCAAATATTGTTGAGGATCTGCTCCCCACCTTCTCCAGGCCCCTGAGTGGGGTTCTCGGAAGCCACCATAGTCCGCCAATACAAATCATCTCGATTTTTCAAACTTGAATCCCGAACCACCGCATTACGAGTAACACTCGCAGCATGGAGTTTCGTGTTTGCGCCCATAAGCGTCTGCACGGCCATCGACACCGCCTCATCAGCCTGCTCAACCGTGGAAGGCGGCTTGAAAAAGAACCGGTTAGTCGCAGAGAGCCAGAGCACAACCGAGAAGATCACATCGCAAATCACGAAAGCCAGCGGTCGCAGGAGCGTGATGTGGTGGTAAATTCCGGAGGGCGGTGTCTGGCCCGCGCGCACAGAGCGCGACGCACTTTGAAGCGCGTCGTAGGTGGCCATAATGTAAATATCGATGGCTGCGAGGACAAGTCCGACTAGTGTAAACTTCGCGCGCCAGCGAGCGGCCTCGCGCCCTGCGATGGGGGCGGATGTCGCCACGCCTAGGAGAAGCAGGTGCGCTAGGTGTGGTAGCAACACATGGAATGGGAGGTAGTATATGAGGTATGTGTTGAGGTTGTCGAAGGAGCAATATTGGCATGAGATCAGGGCATCGGGGCCATAGGTCAGGTATACCTTGCGCGCACCGAGAGAGGTGAACTTGGACTGGAGGAGGTTGTCGGCTTCAGTGAGGAAGTTATTTGGCCGAAGTCGGGCGAGGCGGTTGAAGATGATATCGGTAGGAGTGTTTAGACGGGAGCGAGTCTGAGAGAAGATGTTGGGTTCGGGCGCGTGGGGGTTGAATGGTAGGCTTAGGAGTAGAAAGAAGACGATGCCACCGAATAAGATGTTCAGCGCTCGACCGGGCGCGGCAGGTAGAGGACGCGGCGGCGGTCGACTCGCAATGGATACACGGAGACTTCGATAGGCAGTAATTGCGCGTGGGATTAGAACGGGGCCGAAAAATATGAGGAGTGATTTGACGCTATTGACACGGTCAGGCACACGGTCAGGCTAGATTGCAGATGAGAGCTTCAAGATTTCAAGACTTACGTTCCCCAAGAAATTGAGATTGAATTCATCTTTGCTAGGACCTTACTTCATCCGAATCTCAAAGTTGAGTTTCGACGAAAGAAAGGTGTAAGAGGAAACATGCCCAAGTTAACATATACACCGGATTATAGGCCGCGCGAGATGACTTTCCCTTTCCGCTTTAGTACTCACCCACTCCCCTGAGTATTACATAATTATCAAACTCGCTCACTGAGCGCAATCTGAGCGCTCTGACTTGCTCACTGAGCACGACCTGATTATTACACAAGTTCAAGGGCTTGCTCACTGAGCGTCACCTAGTCAGCAGCTCACCTCAATAACACCCCTCAACGAAAGGCTGGCGTCATCAATGTTGCGGCCGATCCTGGTTGTTTCGCCTCCAGGAGGTAAATGCACAGTGGGGCCAAATCCATTGGCGTTCCTTTCTGCCCGGCTATGCTACTTTTCAACTTGTCGAGTCTCGCATCTACGATACTATCTCCACATAGTTGCGGGAAATATCCAAACCTCAATTTTTGGTTTTGGTATAACAATATCTAGGAATATCTTAGAAAACTCCGATTGAGTGGCTTGCAAATCTAATCTAGTTCAATTCAGATTCTTTTCTTTTCGCTTGATTTTTAATGACTATCGCTCTTGCTGTCCGCCGCTTGCTCCTAGGAATACGACTTCAGTTCTAGCGACCAAAACATCCGCAAAAAGACCTATCGACCATGTCAACTGAATGATCTAGCCACCTAAAACAAAATTTGCGGCCCCTCATCTGCCTAACATATTCTAACTAGCAGTCAGAAAATACCCCATCATAACTAAATGAAGTATGATAGGACTTCCTAGGAGCATATTGTACCACCACAATGTGATTGGTGAGACAAACAGATCCTAGGAGCTCAAGTGCTGGTACCTATTCGTAATAACTATGGCTGCTAATGCTAAGAATTGTTGTATATAATATAAATATTGATCCCTCCTCCGTGAGCGAAAATATTTAAAGTTCAAGCATTCCTCCTCAAGGCCTCATGAAGTTTCCTCATTTATCAAACTTCAGTATTCTAGGTCTGCCGCTTTTCAATCCCTCAGCCAAAGTTAAAGTGTAACACGATTCTTTTATGCAGATTGTCTGATATCGCAAAGAAAACCGACAACCTAGTCGATGTCGGTGGACATTTCCCACCCGGTGAGCGTTGCAAGGCCCTTTTCTACATATTTGAGCGCCAAGTTCATGGTATATGGCTAGTACACAAATGGAAATATGTACGTGGCTTTCATTCTTATATGAGGGAGGCTCCTGCGGCTAACCGAATTCAGTAAATCCACCATCCTTGCTCGATTCCCAAGTCTGGTTAAACGCGTCAAGTCTACTTTTACTTGCGCATTCTCTTTTTATCTTTCACCTAGACTCATAAACTAAGCCAGGTGTGATGTGCTTCCCTCGATTGAGCTTGACCCATGGTGCCCGTTCTTCTAGACCAAATGCCAGATCCCGACATACACTAATGATCATGAGTTACCTGAACCTTTCTTTCAAACATGGTCTAAACTGGTACTTGTCTACGGTACAACAGTATTGGTTCAAAAACCCAAAAGGCTCTAGGTTAAGTGTCAAACCCCAAAAGAGAGAGCTTGAATCATTAATTACCGACGTAAGACACTTACCAAATTTCTGTCCAACCCGCACAGCCACCGCTTCGTCACAGATAAGCCACAGTACGTAAAATCTCTGTAATTTCTGAAGTACCTGAAACAGATATGGTTATGTATGATACAACTTTACGACGGGTTACCTCATCAAAGCTACTCTCCTGTACAGATACACTGTGATCACTAAGGCTACCACGACGGAGAAGAAGCATCTTTTTCAAGCGGAAATGGGCGGCTATCGCTACCTCAGCAGCATGCAGGGACACGAGATCCCCGTTTGCCTCGGGACCTTTACACCCCGCGTTGCATATTGGTACCATGGCGCAGATAGATGGCACTCGCCATACCCCGTTCCCCAAATGTCATGTATATTGAAATATACTTCTCAATATACTCATTATGATAATTGCTGTGGTTCTAATACCGAGGAGCTTTAGGCGAAAAGGCTTGTTTATCTGGAGGCAAAGCAGCCATTCTTGAAGGGTTTAGATCGCCCACGGTTAAACCTCTCAATAGCCCGCAAATGGGCCCAAGCCCCCGGCCCACAGCCGAACCCGCAGTGGGCTATGGGCTCAGTCTTCAAAGCCCAGCCCAACCCACAGCCCATTAATGGGCGCCCATCAAAGCCCATAAAATCACTTTCCTGTGCACAAATACAGTCTTGGCATGTACAAAGTAGCTGATTAATGGCTGTATTTTACGCATATACCAACCTGTATATTTAATTTCATCATATTATTATAGTAAGAAGTGGGAATTCAGTATTATACTGATTTTAGCATTATGACACTAGATTTCATGCAAAATTTCATACAAAATCACCCTAAAAAGACCTAACTTGACCATGAATTCGCACCTAGAAGGATTACTGAGTATTAGCATGAAGAGATATATATATCTTGGGTCTATAACCAGGTGTTAATTATAGTAGCACAAATGGTACCTCTACTTACTATGTAATTCCCTAGTAAAAATAAGTACCCCTTATAAAAAATAAAGCTTTATAAAAATCAACTTTGTATCTTATGAGTTAATTTATAAGCCTGTAAGAAGAAGGTTTCTGTATAGCTTCATGTATCGCTCAGATGGTAGTTTAAATACCCAAAAAAACCCACAGAAAAATGCATTAATTATGCAGCTACGATAAATTGCCATGTTTATATTATTTGGGGCCCATTATGGGCCCGAAGGTAAAGCCCAAAACCCAGCCCATTTGGTGGGGTGGGTTGGGCTAGGCTATGGGCTTTGTCGGCTATTGAGAGGTCTAGCCAGACCCCGACATACACCAATGACCATGAGTCACCCGAGCCTTTCTTTCAAATATGGTCTAAACTGGTGCTTGTCTACGGTACAACAGCACTGGTTCAAAACCTCAAGGCTCTAGGTCAAGTGTCAAACCCCAAAAGAGAGAGCTTAAAGATATTACATGGGAATGCACATGAGAATAAAACCCACCCTTGCCGCCACTATTAAGCAGGTTGTGTACAATAATATGACTAATTATTATCGGTCATGTCACGATCATCGAGAGCTTCGCCTGCCATGCTTCAGTCTGTATCATTCCGCCCTGACTTATAGACATCTTTTTGCCCACTGGCCCTAACTTGTCGGACCATGCTTCTTCCTATCGTTGGACTTGGGAGCCTCTAGCCAATAGTCAAGACATCCGAGAAAACAGGAAGAGCTCTTCTATTGGAGCGAAGACGCGCCATCCTGGTTCTTTAATTTATTCACGCTTGACACGACAACCAGAAGGCCGCATTTACCCGCTGCCCTCTACATACCAGCTTCATATTACAGACTCGGAACTAGTCTCATGGACTGTTAAAGATACTACCTAGCTATCTTATTATATTGCCTATGTTTGCCAGGTCGATGCTGTTGCATAGTTGAGGCTCGTGCATATCAGGACCCAAGCCGTATCATAGAAATTAATTCTGCACTACCTATAGGAAGGAACGAGCTCGTTAGAAACCAGCTGGACTTCACATTGTATCCCCTTAGAATGCCGACTTTCTTCGAATTACTACAATAATGGATATTTCCAGAACAGAAAAACGATAGATATATGGACAGGACGCAAAGCCTACTTCCAGGTACTGGATAATTTCTGCAAAAAAAAGAACATTGGAAATTGTGAACAGTGAAATCACGACTTGAGACTGGTTAGTCTGACCATTTCGGCAATCGCTTGGTCAGGGCGACTGTTCTGAGTTACAATGAAACAAATAGTTACATTACAGTTACATGGTCCGCACCGCCACAGACGAGGAAGAGAGCTTACTAAGTAATTATGGAGAGTAATGTAACGTACCATGTATGTTTTGATTTGTACTATATTACGGCTTCTGAGTGATCTACTAAGTATTGAATTTCCAGCAATCTTAAACTATCTGCCATTTCAATCATCCTTGTAACTTCTCAATGGTAGTATACATATGAGCATAAGATAGTCTTATAAAGGAAACGTTGCCCAGATCAAACCTTCTAGCACTCACGTCGAAAGCAAGCTTCAACTTCAGTCACTTGTTTAGAACGGAATTGCAAATTCAATAGTTGGTCTACGGGCAAAATCCTCAAAAGAAGCGTAGACCGACCGACCTACGAGTTTGACGCGGTTACGTAGAAACTTGTTCACCTCAGAATGACTGTGAGGGTCTCACGTATACATAGAGGTGGATGCTTCAAGATCAATTAATCAATATCAAGAACAGCTATAATCGACGCTAGATACAACACGTAGCGCGAGGAAACAAAAGAAAGGTAGCTTCCTCGCTTTCAGGGGAGCCCATATACACCATATACACGTAGGTCCGGCGCAGATCATATCTCCATCTGTCCTGTATGCTTCATGTATATCTCTGACACCGTATTCCGGAATCCTTAGGGCTCCTAGAAACCAGTCGTAGGGCCCTAGGAGCAAGTATCACTCGATGAAGGGATTCCCATAAGAAGCACATACCCGAGGAGATACTATCTCCCCATGCAGTTTGCTTCCTATATCAACCTCGACGCAGCGATATCACAGTATTGTAATTGGGACCGCATGGAAATTTACACAGGCGCTTACTCCTGATTCTACGGATATCCCCAAAAATCTGGAGTATGGAGGATGAGGCATAAATAAGGGTTCAATCCCACATAGTGAGAGATTAGACAGACAGAATTCATCTGATTGAGAAACACATGCTGCTTAGTAAATCATCTGTGGGTTGGCAAGTTCTTTGACCAGAAAAACCTTCAAAGTCTGTGTCTCACATCTCGGGAATCCTACGTCATCTTCAGAAAGAGCTTCATTGATTCCATAGACTTTCAAGACATCCCGCTAATTCATTGGGCAATCGAACATAAAAGCTTAGGCATCGTCCAACACATTCTGGGTTGGGAAAAGGCCGATGTCAACCAAAATCTTTCTGGCCTTATACCGCTCATGTTGGCTACAAAGTTGCGGTACACAGACGCTGTTGATTTGCTCTTAAGCAATATTCAGTGAATGTCATCGTTAAAGTCCTCGGGAATTTGTATCAAAGACAAGGCAAGATAAATGAGGCCAAGGAGATGAATGTACGAGCGAGGGAGGGTTGAAAGATAAGTCTGTTGTTCTAGTTTACTCCATTGGACCAAGATGCCTTTTTATGTCTGTATAAAGTAAGGTCTACAAAGTAAGGGAATAATCACCTGTTGCGCGAAGAAGATCTGCGAATCTGGATGGCTGTGAAGCCAGAGTGACTGGGTTTCCAAATTCCACGATGCTACCTTCATCAAGCACTATGACTTGATCGTAATCCAAGATCGTTTTGAGTCTGTGCGCGATGCACACCACTGTGTGCTCGGGAAACCGTTCGTGAAGCACATCAAGAATGATGGTCTCGGTCTCCTGATCAACACTGTTATCCAGAACGAGGGGTTAGCTTGGTAGCACATGATAAAACAAACAACAATTGCTGAAAGCCCTCACCTGCTTGTTACCTCATCTAGGATGAGAATTCTTGACGTCCGCAAGACTGCACGAGCGACGCAAAAAAGTTGCTTTTGGCCATGCGACAGGAGGTCATCGGTCATCGGGACATCCAAGCCGCCTTTCTGTATGATGAGTTCATGCAGTCCAAGCCTGGCCAGAATTTCAAACATTTCCTCGTCCGATCGTTGCCCTTGGATGTCCAGGTTCTCGCGGACCGTACCATAGTAAAAGAATGACTCCTGGGGCAGAGTGATGAGCCTGGACCGAACCTCCTGCCGCGTGATAGTGGAAATGTCCAAACCGTCGATTTCGATAGTGCCGCTACGCAGATCCAGAAGTCGCAACAGCGATCCCACGAGGGAACTCTTACCACTGATATATTATTAATGGAGACGCCTTAGTTACGCCAGACCTTAGGCCCAGGGAGATATGCTTACCTGCCAGTTCTGCCGCAAATCGCGAGCTTTTGTCCAGGTTGGATTTCCAGAGAGACGTTCTTGAGCACTAGTGAGGACTCGCAGCTGCCAAGAAAATATCAGCCTTCAGTTTCTGGTATCCCTGTTCTGTCATTCAAAGTTTTAGCTGCTAACTCACCTGTAGGCTGCCGAGACATCATGAAAGCGGATTAGGCCCCGGTCAGGCCAGTTCGGGGGTGGAGGCTCGGTTGCATCCGGTTGATCCTCGCAGGGGGTATTCGACGTGAAATTTTGGATACGGGCAATTGCACCCATGGAGATTTCCAAAGCCGTCCAGTTATACACGAGGCCCTTCAAATTAGCGCCAAACGCGACAATATTGACCAGCGCAAGACCAATTGATGCACCCGACGAAGTCCTAGTCGTAACCGCAACACTGACCAAGGTAATGGCCAAGAACGCAACGATCATATCCAATGTGAGACTGAGCCATAGCTGGCCACAATATAAGAGATATATAGACTGCTGGGCCGTCACTAGCAGACGATCATTCCGGGTGGCGTATTCTCGCATCCAGCCAAACGCGCGAACACTGCTCAACCCTTGTAGTGTTTCCATGAAATTGGTCAAGAGAGGCGCCCGAGCTTGAATTTCAAGGATGCGAAGTTGTCGCGAGGTTTTGAGATAGTACATTTGTACCAGGTACAGAAGGCCGATCAGGACCGGCACAGTCGCGGCAATGTACTTGGAGCTATACAAGATGACAACCAACTCGCCGACACATAAGACAAAAGCCATCGTAGTGCCGATGAGTGACCGAGGGAGCTCCATGTCTACCAATTCAAGATCTTGACTGAAGCGGTTGGCGATCTCTCCGTTGTCGGTGCCGGAAAGAAATCCCAATGGGGCTCTAGATGAAAACATCAGCCATAATTGCTCTTTGGGCTGGCTGGAAATCGAATCTAACCTTAAAACTGTCTTGAGCAGAAGTTCGTGAAGTTCTCCGGCGGTCTTCGGGACCATAACTATCATCAGTTGCCTGCGGTCGGTTTGTTAACATCGACCTTTTGAAACTCGAAGTCAGGTTTGCAAAGAACGTACAAGCATGCACCCAAAAATAAAAGGATGGCCAAGGTAGACCAAAGTACGTATAGCGAAAGATAGTATGCTAGTCGATCATTTGCCTTTCTGGCGTTGGCCTCTACCCAGAACTTGATCCAGATTTCTTCGGACGTTAGTCTCGCCTTGAGTATAAACAAAACGGAAGGGAGGAAGGCCACACGTCGACTTACGGGAGAACAACAAGCCAAAAGCGAAGCCGGAACAAAGCACAAAGAAGACAAGAAATGACACGCGCCCCGTCTTGTCCACGTAAAATTTGTAAATAGCCAGGTCACTGGCAGGCCGATTTTCAGCATTCAGATTAGCATTTCGTAGAACAGAATCATCTAGTGCAGCAGTTTTGTTATCGCCCTGGCGATCTGTTTCGTCGCTTCTGTTCTCTTTAGGATCAAGGCTTGCTAAATAGCTTCCCTGACTGATCAATTCCGAATACATGCCTTGTTCGACTATTGTGCCGCCTGGTTCTAAGACAATAATGTAATCTGAGAGGGAAATATTGCGAACTAGAATAGAGGTTTCCCCATTGTCAGTGAGACCTCTGGACCTCATACCTATCGCGACCTACTGGAGTTTGTGGCAAGAACAGTTGTCGTGCCCTGCCTCAACAGACCGCCGGCACCGAAAAGCGCAGTACAGACATCTTGTTCTGTTTCTGCGTCCAGACCAGCGAACACATCATCCAAAATAACTAATGGTTTTCTCGCATAAAGTGCTCGTGCCAATGCCTAATTCAAGGTCAGCCTAAAATTCCGAGCAAAACAGACAAGAACATGAGAACAAGAGACGAAAACAAGTAATAGAAACATTGAATTACCAGACGACCTTTCTGACCACCACTTAACATGATACCCTTGCTTCCAATCATAGTATCCTCTCTTCCGGGAAGCTGAGTGAAGTCCCGATCTAACGCACAGCTCTTGACAACAGTGTTGTACCACTGACTGTCGAATTCAGAATGTCCTATAATATTGTCCTTGAGGGTCGCATTGATCAACCATGGAGTCTGGGCGCAGAACGCCACTTCCACATCCTGTACGATGACCGTTCCCACTGTATGGGGTATCTCGCCCAGAATAGTGTGCAGGAGACTTGACTTTCCTGACCCAACAGGCCCGATCACTATCACAAATGATCCCTGTTGGACATTCACATCCACGTGATTGATCACAGGCCTTGATGATCTGTCCCAGCCGGCAGAACAGTTGCACAATAAGATCATGGCGCTGGAATCTATTTCTTCCGACACACTGGGCCTGAATACGTTCTTCTGTTCGTCCAGTTCGTCATCCTCCTCATTGGAACATGCAGATTTCATGGGCCATGCACTGAAATTTACATCAGTCGCACTGCAAGTATCACCTGGAAGGGGAATTCCACCCTCCAGCGCGAGATATTTTCGAATACGTTCCAGGCTGGTTAGTGCTTGAATCAATCCCATTATAGCGTCAATAAGACTTGCTGCGGCCTGACAGAGAAGTGATAGGATTGTCAAGGACGTGTAAGCAGTAGCCGCAGTCAGTGGGGTGGTATTTCGGATCATGGCGAGAATAGTGTATGTGCCAAAGGCAAATGGCGGTGCCATTGTGGTCGCCAGATATGCTAAATGAAGTCGAGGAGCTCAGAAAGGACCCAGAGACGACATGGAGGGGGTTCACAACCTACATAATGTCACGAGCATGACCAGCACTTCTCGAAATTTAATGGACTTTTGGATTTCATATGTTCTCAGCTTAGTGATAACTGAGTTCAGAATATCCGTTGAACCAGTTGCTTTGACTCCCTTCATGGTGCCGATTGCTGCCACGGTTGTTGCGATTCGTGTTTGCATCGCCTCAAGCCATAGCTTTTGGCGAATGCCCATATATCCGCTTAATTTTCCGCTGATGAGAATACAAGCTGCTCGATTGTCACCATGAATTAGTTACTCTAATCTCTAGAATGAATGAATCCAACAAAACAAGAGAGGAAGTAAAAAGAGAGAGAGGGGATTTGACATATCTTACCTATGACCACCGATGCAGCTGCAACTGCCGATACCCCGATATTAACATCAAGTAACCAGAGAGATAGACCAATCTCGAGCATGCTGGCCCAAGTCTCATGCAAGCTACGGAGCCCAGATCCTATCCGTTCGACGTCAGCATTAATCAGAGTCAACGCATCGCTTTTGGAGGGGGCGGATATGTTCAAGCTCAGGGTATGGTCATAAACCAAGAGAACTAAGGCGCCGCGCACCATCACGACTGTGCGATAGGACCGATGATGAAACATGGCTGTCATACACTATGAGGGTTCTCTAAATGAGCAATCATGTCGATTTTGGAACCAGGTTACGCGCACAACTTACGGCGATGCCAACGTAGACGATGCCGTAGGCTGCAATCAGGCCGTACGCTATTTCTTTTGCCGTGGAGCTACTGGGTTGCCCCAAAAAGCTCGTCACCCGATTGACTAGGAAGGGCTGGGCAAAGTTGACGCCTGTTAAGCACAGGCGCGGCAGAACACCAGCTAGAAGTGGCCACTTGTACAGTGCCAGTAGGAACTTATGGAGAGATTGTTCTTTTGCACCTACGAAGGATAGAAAGAAATATCAGTTGAACGATTTGATTATTGGGATATGATAGGGTCTCATTACCATGTTTCCACTTTTGGCGGACCTCATTTTTTGATCTCTTCAAACTGATATCCTCATCAACCTGTAACAGATCATTGAATTCCAGGGTTCGCTTGTAGCCCGCCCACAGCTGCGGATTGAACCACCAGAACGCACTTAGGTTTAGTATGCCCGCTGTCTGCTCGGGAGGCAAGGATTGGGTAATAAGTCTTCTCTTCTCTGTTGCTTCCAGCACAAGGAGTACCGATTTACAGACCACGAGCGTGGTGAAGATGATCGCGATGGCTTCATTTCCAGGCATGTGGAACAGCGTGCGCGCTCGCGCCGCGTCCATGGGAATGGATCCTAATAAATATACATTTAAGATCATTGACGGTCGCTGTGATCTATTATGTTCCTGGTGTGATAGGAAAGCAAACACCGGTGAAACTGCGAACCCAATTGCGATGGCAGCGTTGGATAATCTGGTGGTAGACGTCTTGAGCACTAACGAGAGCACCAAATGTGTGAATCCTAGCATGATATATGTGGTCCAACATACCTTCAATGAAGAGTTTTCGTTTAGTTCAATTGGTAATCCAGTGCGATAACGATATTCGAGAGGTTTGGGGAGTTTGGTGGGGGGTTCATCTCTCTTTTCAAAGAAGCACTCACTTGCTTGCCATACCACAGAACTCCTGGATGACTGAGAACTTTCTTCGCAGATCGGAGTTCGCACAGACGCCAACATCCCATGGCGCATGCGATCAAGAGGGCAGGTAGATAAAGCACGCTTTCTTCGAACAGTAGGGTGAAATCGAAATTATCGTAGCAATCGGACACCTGCGGACCAAATACGTCCTCCACTTGAATCCGACATTGTTCCATGGCGTCTTCCTGACCCCAAATTTGCTGCCGTTAAGGTTGCCCGAATAACTTCATGGAAAAAAATGGGGGGGGGGGGGGTTGCAAATGGGAAGATGTCGCGGGTTAGCGAGCGGTATAAGAACATGCGGAGCTCGGGCTGCATTACGCCTCCAGCGCACTCTCGTTATACCGAGCTTCTGAATAACTGTCCTAATCCATTTGGGGTATAATCTAATTCTACCATATTTAATACATGAAGGGTTAGGAGAGCACTTTCTAGGCGTGGCGGGATGATGTAAGATGATGTACTGGCCCCGGTACTCGTACGATTGTCTCTACATGAGACTCGGCGAAAGGCCACTCTATCAGGGATTTTGCTGTCTCTGCCGCTACGAAGAAACCTTCCCGACGATGTATATTAACCCCACTACATATCATCAAGTCGCACCCCAGTGCCAAAATCTGTTGCTTGGAATTCTACATTGACTTTAGTCTCCGACGCAATGGCTATTCCAACGCTCGATTTCTCCAAGTTCCAGAGCGGCTCGGACGCAGAACGTCGTGAATTTGCCTCTGCTCTAACGGAAGGATTCATGGGCCTCGGTTTTGTCAAGCTGATCAACCATGGCTTCTCCAAGGATGAAATTACTCATTTGTTCCAATTGGTACGGGTTCCCTCTTAACCGTCCACTCGCTCTTATTTGGTTTCCGAACTGACCACAAGGTTTAAATAGAACAAAGATTTTTTCGACTTGCCTAATTCATGCAAAGCTAGCATCCAGAATGATGAAGGTCCCAAGCCGCAACGAGGATGGAGTAGCCTTGGAGCCGAAAAGACAGGCCTACTGAACCCAGGTGGCAAGACTAATCTCGCAAAAACCGATCAACACGACCTCCAAGATGCGAAGGTGAGAATATACTAAAAGCCTTCGTGATGCTAAACATTAGGCCGGACTGGCATATGCTGACGTCTTCTTTTTTGTTCGTTCTCAGGAGCACTTCGATACAGGCCCAGCTGGAGACATGCAATATCAGAACAAATGGCCCTCTCCGGATCGCCTGCCCGGGTTTCGACCATGGCTGGAGTCGTACTTTACCCGTAGCCAGGCCATCACGCTGGGGCTGATGGCAGCGCTGGAGCTTGGTCTGGGGATTCCTGAGGGTAGCTTCGTTGGCTTATGCCAGGGCCACGCCAGCGAGCTGCGCCTGAACCACTACCCTTCCATTGCCGTCCGCACGCTCGAGGAAGGGAAGACAAGCCGTATTTGGCCCCATACTGACTTTGGCATCATCACGCTCCTGGCGCAGGATGACCGTGGCGGCCTTGAGGTGCAAAACAAGGAGGCCCCGGATGAGTTCATCCCTGCGCCGCGCGAGGATCCGACTGAGTTTGTGGTGAACATCGGCGACACCCTCGAAAGGTGGACGAACGGCGTTCTCAAGGCGGGCATGCACAGGGTCACAACTCCGCAAGGCGGGGAGTTTCCAGCGGCAACGATGAGATGTTGCCGGCGCGGCGATCCATTGCTTTTTTCCTTAAGGCTCACCGGGATATGTCCGTTGGACCGCTGCTACCATTTGTGACGGATTCCCGTCCTTCCCACTATGAGGACATGACGGCTTTGGCATATCAGCAGTTGCGGACGAATATCGTTTATTAGACTGACAAGGAGGACATAAGAGCGCTGGTCATGGGGGAATTGTACGTCATGTCGGGTGACGAAGTGCAACCTCTCTAAATCTAGCCGTATATAATTCTATTCTATTTTTCGCTCATAGTTACACTGTGCTTTTGATGGAGTATCAAACGATGGTGGTACTTTCTTTACATACATAAAACAGAGTTTGCTTGCCATATCATCTCATTCGACTGTGAGCGAGGAGGCTAAATTCCAAGGGCTCATCTATAAACAAAGCATCTTTTAAAATCATACTGACAATAGAAAACAAATCAGTGGAAAGGAATAATCATCAGTAGACGTGGAAAGACTTTATTGTATACGCTATACAAAACGGACGATGCATGGGCTGAATAATCATGTCTGTTCTTTTGGTGACTTTGTTTTGGCTCGAGCCTGAGACCCATTCTGGTGTAGACCCGCGCCACAAGGGGGGCGGTAAGTGGATTAAACGACCGCCTTGCACAGTTGAAGCAGATCTTCTGTGTCGTATAAGTATTCGCCGAGGGACGCTATGTCGACCGTCTCAAACACAAAGTTTTGCGAGAGATCTACTCCGCCCAATACGTCAAACACCTCTTTAGATAGAGCCTGGCTCAGGCTCCGCAAGTACGCACCCCGATGTTCTTGCAGGTATGTCAAGAAGAACCGGATGGTATCACTTGGTAATTTTTCCACCCTAGATGCGAGAGAAATTCAGTCAGTCCGTGTCTTATCCTTGGTTGTGGAAGTCAAACTTACTGATCAATACTGATGGAGTATCGCCCGGCGCAAGGTATCAAGGCCAGAATCGCTCCGGGAAAGGTATGTTCAAAAGTATACCAGTTGCGCGCGCATGATAAGCGGTTACGCAGCTGGGTTAACTTTCTAGTATACATGCAGTCGTTGGTCTGACGACTCTCCCCTACGGGAGGGGGGCGAGCCCCGGGTATAGCATTTGCATTAGATCCGTCAGAGCCTGCGTCTTGGACCGGTTCTTGGGCCGATCCTTGCTCACAAGTCGATCACTTTTGTCGGCTGAACGAGCTCCACTCTTCCCGCTGTCACGGATCAGCTGTAGGCGAGCGCAGTCATATTTGAGCATGCGCTTGGATCCTCGCCCAGCAAGTTTGGTAGCAATATGATCTTGTTCCAGTCGGGTGCGATGGGCTGAGAGACGAACAAGGTAATATCGCCGGAGGATATGTGAGAGAGCAGTGATGGAGTCGAGTCGGTCAAGGGCTTGCACAGTGGTTGCGAGGTCGTTCTGAAGGCCGGATTGTACCACCGGAATTACGGAGGTCCTCCGTGCAAATTGGAGTGCATGGCGTAATTGGCTCAAAGCGTCAGGACTCCCAACCGCATAAAAGAGACAAGTCAAGAGCTGTGCCACAGAGCGCTTGCTTTCCGAGAGGTGGTGGCTAAATGCCGCAAAGACCTGACTGGCCGACGGCAGATGAACCGGGGTGCAACCCAACCCTACCAGTGATGAGATCCCAGTGGCGTAGGGAGCTATAGCCTCAGCACCCACTTCCTCTACCTCCTTGCAGGGTGGTGCCGCCACCAGAGTCTCCTCACCACCCCCAGATTCATTCCCAGGCAGTTGGGGTGTGGGCTGTGCTCGGGTGACCTGTGCACCACCAACGCTAGCAGGGGACGAAGCCAGGATATTGTGGGAAACCGCACGGCTTACACGGAAATCCCAGGCAGCTGAGCTTTGGGCTCGGGCTACGGAGGGAGTAGGCTGCTGTGTGGATATGGCCGGGGGGTTGGGAGCCGGAGACAGTGTGCCCCGTCGCTGCGGACTTATGATAAGTCCACCAGGTCTATTTGGCGCCGGAGAGTGGGTCCTCCGTCGTTGCGGATCTAGGATAGATCCAACACTTTGATCTGGTGCCGGTGACCGGATCAATTGGGCGACATGGCCCTCTCGGACCTCTTCTAGTTGCATATCATTATTCCTCATCTGTGCTGCAGATACAGGTAGCGCTGCGCCCTCTTTCGGGTTGGATTGATTGGTGGGACCATGCATCTCTTCTTGTTCCGCCAGTAGATCCAACTCCATAAAATCTAAAACCGCAGGAGTCGGCACTTGAGTTGGATCCTGACTCTGACCCCCTGGCCAGAGAGGCACATTGCCCGGTGGCTTTGGACTCATTCGGGCAGGGGTATCATTAAAGCCACCTTGCAAGGACCACCACTGCATTTCATCGCTCCCTGCAATGTCTATCCTGTCGCATTGGTCAGGGTTGCCACTCCGCAGCAGCGCCTCGTCGTCAGGGATTAAGACTCTAGGTGACAGGATTGGCCACTCACCCGTCGCGCCAGATTCTGTGGATGTCGTGGAGAGCGACAGGCCAAGAGACCCGAGGTCGATGTCGTTAAGGTGTTGAAAAAGTTCCGCCCGCGGTGAGTCCCCATGGATCCCCAAATATTCGGGTGAACTATCCGCTGGGATGGTATCGAGGCTGGTTCGGGGCGTATCTGAAAAACTTTCTGCTGTCTCTTTCACTTTCTCCTTCTCCGAGACAGAAAGGGAGCTGATGCAGTCTAGAATCTCGAGTATGTTTTCTTTTGCTGAATGCTTCAATTTAATGAAAGTACTGTCGTGAGAGCTTGCCAGTGCGTCCAGAAGTCTCTCACGGAAGTCCACGCACAGCCAGTCCATGAACACGATATCAGCACAGTCCCGCTTGCCTCCTATTGACAGCTGTTGCTGGGAGGCTTCTGAGGTTGCATACGAGCTCTCTACTAGATCCATTCCCGTGGTAGAGTAGAGAGACCGACCTTGCGCCTGTCTGATCCTATCCATTGCAATCGATAGTAACAGACAAAGATGAAAACAGGTTCGATCATAAGAAGCTCCATGAGCCTCAAGTCGAGGGAACAATGCTAACTCCGAGAGAGATTCTCATGGCCAGCCTTGCCGAGCATGGTCTAGTGAAAACAATATTGGCGAATTCCTCCGTCCCGTTGTCTCATCGCCATACTTGACAGCCGTTCCAGCGAGACTCTGGTCGCATAATAACTGGCCACCTATAGGTCCACAGTAAGACCTATAGCATTGGCGTTCGATGCGTTAATCCATGCCCCAACGGCGTCCTGCAGTAAGCGACGATAAAATCAGACTATAGCGAATCGTGTGATGGTAAACACTTTCATTTCCACCATTCTTGTCGTTTGGAATCCTGCTCGTGGGAGGCGATACAGCCCGGATTCCAAGTAGGAAGACCCTAGTCCTTATATGGATATATCTCCCCTGCTAGTAGGTAAGACCTAAAAACTCTCGAGCCCCTCCAATCCTCGCCAAGTGGGGGCTTCCTGCAGAACGCCATGAGCTAGTTCAATTTGACATGCTGATTCAGCAATGCTCTTATCCCGATAGCCTACAACGGGACTGTGAAAGCTTTACGTGTTCGGTCTGAAAGAGGTAACTAGATAGAGGGAGACAAAGATTTCCGTCCTCCGTTTTTCTTGCTTCTTATGCTCCTTATATTCTTTGTGCCTTTGATATTCCTTTATACTCCCAGGTAGGCAAGACAGGTCCGCGGTGGAAATGCGAATTTCTCACATCCCTCGCTCTGCTGTTGCTGCTACGTCGGTTCTAGATGAAATCCCGTTATTACTCAGACTGTTTGAGACAGAACAGGGTTGCAATCCCCGCTATGCTTGATACATGAAGGTGGAGAAAGAGTTTTCTGGTATATGACATTGACGTTACAACCCGTACTGTGGCCGGCCAGAATTAGAGGGCGACCATAGAATTGTCACTTGGTAGAGAGTTTTGCTCCAAGACCATCTCGCACAAGACACCCCAATTCTGATTGTACTTGTAGGTGAGTGTCCCACTACTCTTGGGATCTCCCCCACCTACACCTCCATCTTCGCGGCTTTTTGATCGTTGTGGGGACCCAACACTAAAATAGGGCGTTCGCGTCGGGGAGTGCTGATCTGATGGCAGTTCGCCAAAAATGGTTCTGACCACCATCTCGGCATAGGGGAGAAAGCGCTCCAAAAGCCCTAAGTCCTCCCAGGGCTTGGCAACAAGGCTGGCCCCGTCCGCCAAGAACTCTACCCACATGGGGAACGATCCGAAACACGCCCGGGATTAGTTTCGAAAGTTGTGCTCTGTTTCCGATCACCACCATATTTCTAATCCACTCCTGCTCCTCGGCGGTGTATCCTTTGATCGCATTTAAACAACGATTTAGCACCATAATGTACAGTGCTCAATAGTGATCGAGCCTGAGGATAATTCTGCAAATTAAGAGAGAAAGATGGTTGTAGTAATGGGCTAGTGCCTCAGATCACGGTTTTAACTAGACTGAGGTCGTGTTGAGGCGATAATGTATATATTAAAATGATGAACTCGGGTTACAGCGCGTTGGAATGTCATATTTTGTAGCCCTGGAGAGCCATATAACGGGCGAAGATTAGCATCGCTAACAGATACAGACTGCGTACAGGAATTTTGTACAAATACCTATTGTATGCTCAATTGCTAAAATCTCCTTTGCACGTTGAGCGAACAGAAGTAGGTCTGTTCTCAAACAGTCTAATTGTTGAAGTAGCAATGTGAAGGAATACTCGAATTTGCATCCCAATATAGGGAGGTATGAACAGCACGAGGATGAGGGGCAACCGTGGAACTATGCCTCCTCTTTCAGGCTTGGGAACTTAGTCTACTTTTATATACGTATTCATATAAGTACATCGAGTCGCCGCGACATAAAAAAAGAGCAGATTGTTTCCAACGTTTCTTCCAAGGCTTTTAATATCCGATTTTTTTTATCTCTCTATATTCGAGTCACACATACAACATGGTCTTTACTTCCGCACCATGGTGCCGCGACCTAGTTGTCTCCCTCCCGGAGACACAGCTGGTAGGCGACTTCGTGCTTGAAGGCGTCGGCGAAAAGTTCGAGGGGAAGCCTATACTAGTCTGTGCCCAGACTGGGAGATCATATACCATCCAGGATCTCGAGTATCGCGTCACCATGTTGGCACGAAGCCTAGCACAAGTGTTGGGATGGAACCCAAATGAAGGTTCTCCAGAGAATAAAGTCGTAGGAATCTTAGCCTTGAACGCGGTAAGCTGATCAAATCGCAAAATGCAAGAGCAATGTCATAACGGAGGCTTCTAGATGGATTTTGTACCTCTCTCATGGGCGGTTCACCGCATCGGCGGCACATGTCTCCTCCTGTACCCCACGTCCTCGGCTATCGAGATTCAGACCCTGATGCGCAAAGCCAACTGCCACGCACTCTTCACTTGTCGCAAACTGCAGCCTATCTGTGAAGCGGTGTTTACAGCTTTGAACGAAGATCCGGCGCGATTGTTTCTGCTCGAATTGGCTGGCGACGATGCCACACCGGCAGCCCTGAAGACCATCTCCCAATTGATTGCGGATGGGGAGCACCTGCCGGCATTAGAGCCTCTGGCCCTCCAGGCTGGGGGGACCCAAGATCGCGTCGCTTATCTCTGCCCGACGAGCGGCACCTCCGGGTACCAGGTATGTTGAACAATTAACATCGGCTTCCATAACAGCAAGGACAGACACGCTGACCCTTTTGACAGAAATTGGCGCAAATCACACATGCGAGTGCGATTGCCAATGTCGTCCAGGCCATCACACTGGAAACTTATGCTACCGGGCTCAAGAGCCAGGTCATCCTGGGGGTCCTTCCTTTGAGCCACGCCTATGGCCTGATCTTGCTGCACGTGCTGATATGCCGTCGCGATACAACTATTCTGCACGCGAGCTTCGACATGCAGGCTGCGCTGCGGACCATCCAACAGTATCGGATCGAGCGATTATACTTGGTAAGTCAGGCTGGTTTTGAGTGAAGGAAAAATGTGTGCTGACAAGGGTCCCTTTTTGTTCAGGTTCCCGCGATCGTGGCGGCCTTGGTCAACAACCCGATCTTATTCAAGATGGCCGATCTGTCGTCCGTGCAGACGGTGGTATGTGGGTCCGCGCCCTTGAGTGCCGACATGATGCACGCCTTGAAACAAATTCGCCCCGATTGGGATTTACTCCCTGGTTACGGTATGGAGACAGAAACTACTCTCTGGACTCAGGACTCGGGCTGACCAGGCGTAAACGACTATAGGATTGACCGAAGCAGCGGTGGGTGTCTCATGTACCAGTCAACACAGCATCTTCCCTGGCTCTGTGGGAAGCTTGTTACCGCGGGTGCAGGTGCGGCTGCTCGATGCCGATGGAGCCGAGATCCAGGACTACGACGTGGCCGGCGACCTGTATTTGCGATCACCCAGTGTCATGAAGGGCTATCTCGGGGAAAAGGAGGCGGATTCCCACGCATTCGACCAGGACGGGTGGCTGGTGACGGGCGATGTAGCGTGCATTAGGCGCAACACTGACGGCGAGGAACATCTGTTTATCGTGGATCGGAAGAAGGATATCATGAAGGTCAAGGTATGTCTATCACCTCCTAGTCCATGGTGTGGCGTGGCCAATAACAAGCGTCACAGGGCATCCAGGTGGCGCCGGTTGAGATTGAAGCCCAGCTGTTGAACCACCCAGCAGTGGACGAGGCCGCAGTATTTGGCGTGCAGCACGACGAGGCCGGCGAACGCCCATTCGCATTTGTGGTGCGCTCACGTCAGGTGGACACCGAGATGGACGAGCAGACACTCCGAGAGGCCCTCGCCGCACACATTCAAAATACCCTGAGTGAGCCATTCTGGCTTAGGGAGAATATCCGGTTCCTGGAGGCGATCCCCAAAAGCCACAGCGGCAAGGCTCTGAAATTCAAGCTGAAAGAGTTGGTTTAAACTGTTGACGCATCCTAATTATTGGTCCAGCAAGGGGCGCTGCCTGTAGCCCATGCTAATAACTTATCGAGTGGAGTTGAAGTCCAGGCACGCGGTAATTGGTTCTGGCATCCCAACCTACTAAAGTTTTTTTTTTTGAAAATGATAATATACCAAAAATGTACAAAGAATTTACCCCCAAAAGAAAAGAAAAGAAAAAAAATCAGTCTTTGTAATTTTCTATTTTCCGTTGCTCTATTACTGAACTACCAAACCTTAGGAGAAGGGGTATATACCTATGGCCTGATCCTTTTTTGTTGTCATTAGCAAATTCTACCTAGGTATGCATTAGGTACTGCTAAAGCCTTGGAAGGCTCCAAAGGATCACAATGAGCGATAATTCTCCGTCTCGGCAACTAAATTGATTTTAGTCGTGGTATTTTCTTATCTTGGAAATTATTTTCCTGCAGTGCTCAAAATACAGCTCCAAGGCATCCAAATAAATATATGAAACATTGGAATCATCAAACATAACAGACATCGCAACCCAAAGGTTATGCAGCGGTTAAATGATCTAATTAGCGCTCAGATAAACAAAAAACCTACTTTCAATCTGTCTTGTAACTCTTTAAATATTAAACATTGAGTTGGGAAACACGTGGACGGTACCCAACTTTTGAAATGTTAATTATGTAAATAATTATGCAGTGGACTTCGGAGATATATTTCTTCCGCTCCAGACGGCTGGCCCCCGGCTTATCTACGAGCCCGCTTTTGTCTTTGTGAGTTGTAACTAACTAGTTAACTAGGGTCATTTAGCCCCATCACGTAAGCGTTCAGTCAGGTCTTGATTCTGTGTCGATGTATGAGACCGTCTGCAGTAGGTATGGGCTCTAATACTTTGATTAGCAACCGCATCGGCGGTGCTAAATCCCGATCTGGTTGCAAAACTTGCAAGTAAGTACTGACCTAGCCTCACTACAGGCTAGCGCTAACTGGCCAGAATTCGAAGGGTTAAGTGTGGCGAGGAGAAGCCAATCTGTCTTCGCTGCTCCAGCACCGGGCGCAAATGTGAATATGGCGACGCCAGAACATCCTCTACCGCACTTCTATATACAGTGCGTCCTAGCTACAGTCTGATGGCGTCACCGAATAGCGGTTGCAATGAGCGCCGTGCCTTTGAATATTACATCCAGCATGCATCAAAAGGACTTGCTGCCGGGATGAACCTCGATTTCTGGACAAAAGTGGCCCCACAAATCTGCCGTACCGAGCCTGCTGTATGGGATGCCATAATCTCAATCAGTGTCTTATACGAATATCCTGATCAGTGCCTGGATTTGCCGCTCCTGAAGCTTCAACATGAAAAGAAGCGGGGTCTTAATCAAATCCAACGAGAGGCCTTGAGTTGGTATTCCCGCGCCATATCCAGCATCCACTCCCAGATTGTGCGCGGTAGAGCAGATCCATATGTCGCACTGATTAGCTGTGTGCTATTCATTTGTATAGAGGCTATTCAAGGCCGTATGACAGAAGCTCTCCAACTTTACGAGCAAGGCGTGAGTTTGATCTTTACCTTGCGACATCAACTTGCCGCTGGGACCCCCCTCCCCCATAAGGCCCTACTTCTAGAGAATACTATCATACCCCTGTTTTTACGGTTGGGCTCCATGTCCTTGACTATACCAACGGTTCAAGTCAGCGAGATTTTTGCCTTTGCTAGGCACGACTTATACACCCAGTTCACATCTCTTGATGCAGCAAGAACTGCAATTTCTGTTTTGTTTTCAGAGGCCACGCTCCTTGAGCGAGAGGCATTGCCATATCGCAAAGCAACCATTAGAGATTTGGTTGCAGGGGCGCATTTGGTTGCCAAGCAGCAATCAATCCAAACACAACTATACCATTGGCTCCAGGCTTACACAAGTCTCTGCCAAAACGGTGCCCAGGCCCAACCCGTACTGCTAGCATACCATGCTGCTACTTCAATATACGTCTCTACATGTTTGTCGCAGCAAGAATTGGTCTATGATTCCTACATGGCAGACTTCGCCATCATTGTTGAGAATGCAAGTTTAGCCTTTGTAGGAGGCCCAGACTGTGTCCAACCACCATTCACCTTCGAAATGGGCCTGGGTCTCCCATTATTTCTAACTGCAATCAAGTGCCGCGATCCACACCTGCGGCGGAAAGCTTTGGGATTATTACGTCAAGCACCGCCGATTCAAGCGTTTTTCACGTGCACCCCTGTAGCTTTCGTGGCAGAGAAATGCATGGACATGGAAGAGGATTATAGCCGTTCCATTGCCCTTACACATGATCCACACACTTTGGATCAGTCTCCCCAATGCTGCGTTTCAGACTTTTCTCCACGCTCTGCGCTGGAGCATGAATCTACTTGTCAATTGTCTACCCTTATTCCTGAAGAGGCTCGCATATGTTACTATAATGTTTTACGACCCGAGGACGGTTATTCCCCAGGGGCGGAAGGAGACATTGCTGAAGATGGTCATGGCTCAAATCAGATCTTGGAAGTCTTCCGGAACCACTTTGATAAAGCTCACAACATATGGCGCATGATTTCTCACCGTGTGCCGCTATAGGGCAACATCTGAGTTTTGTTTTTGGATATGCCTCTGTGCGCTAGTGAAACCAGAATTTAAAAGCATTATAAGCCTATTCATCAGGGCTAGCCTATCGTATATATGAATTTATAAGCTCCCACCAGGGACGAGTGAGGCATACTTTGATGCCATTTACGAGAATTAGCAGAATTCCGTAAGAGTCAGTATACTCATAATGGTCTCCCATCGGCAAGGCGTATCGAATCCTAGATTGAAGAGAGAAACAACGGAGACATTTTTTCGAGGAAAAGACGGGTGTTAGTTGCAGCCCCACGTTGTGTTGATAAAGGTCAACTGAGAATTATTACACCGGGAAGTTATTATGAAATAATTTTGATCTATCCAATTGGCCTCTGCTCCACACAAATGCCCTCCTATGCTAGCCACTAATCGAAATTTCTCGGGGAAATTCACCACCAAATGCAAGGAAACCTGACAGAAATCAAGTGTATGGCGAACGTACGGGTGAAAACACAATGGTAAAATTCTCTAACTAACTAAAAACAACAATGGTGTGAATTTAACAATCTGGTTAGACACAATTAGTAAGCAAATGCATAGTAAAAAAGTCATATGTTGACACGGTAAAAAGACAGTATCATCCTGATTCTTGACAAAAACAAACACAACTGAATTATTGTTTCTCAGGGGAAGAAAGGAGTAAAAAGAAAAAAGAAAGAAATCGAACCAAGACTGGATAATCGAAAACTTGGCTTTGCACTTCGTGTCCTGAGTTCCTTATATTTTAGACTAAGGTTTCGGTCCGGGCCGAACTACAAATCACCGACACCTACGTAACGTATTAACCGAGGCACAGACCAGCCCCAAGCGAAAGGTTGGGGTGGTCTGTGCCACGGTTACATTTTATATGTCAAATTCCGAGTCTGCATACCCGGTATAATACACAGGTGATATGCTACGCCAAGCATACTGCCAAGCATACCAGAGTTATGAATGCTCCATTGTTTTGATGAGATAACTAATCGAGGCTCCATAGTTAGTTAACGTATTTCACATGCGAGTGGTCCACACATGCGAGTGGTCCACGCCAAAACACATAGTAAAAGCGATGTTAGTTGTCACTTATATTTCAACAACTAACGTTTTTATCTAGCTTCATGACTTGCCGATAATGATTGATAAGCATTTTTAATATAATATATCAATCTTAAACGAATCGAATACTTCCATTGTTGTGGTATTAAAAATTACGCCGCTAGATTCAACAAATATATATATCTCAATTACCAGCCTATTAAATTCCCTCAAAATTCATAAAGTAGCTAGATATCATATAAGCAGCATTAGGCTGCAAGAGCCAGTTTATATACAAAACCGTTGTTGCACTAACATGTTGTAATTTATCGCTTTTACTATGTGTTTTGGCGTGGACCACTCGCTTGTGTGGACCACTCGCATGTGAAATACGTTAACTAGTTAGTTAACCAACTAGTTAGGTAACTATAAACTGTAAGGAGCGTGTATACAGAAATACAGAGAGTTCCATATACTCATTCATACCATACACTTTATACAGTCAGACTTCTGTCAATATAGATTACTTAGGCTGCTGATGCCAAGCACTGCTTCTAGACATATTGCCGCCCACCAACGCCACTGTAGAACGAACATCCGATAGGAGGAATAATATTGACCCCTTTTCTCAATGCTGATGTCGAACAATTTGTTGCCCGCGGACAGAGTGCATCGCGGGACAACTAATGTGAGACTAACAATTATGGCGAATTTGGAGCGAGGTACGAGTCCGCTAACTAACTAATTACCTAGTTATCGGACCAGTTATGTAAACCAGCCAGTAGCTTTCCAAGGTTGTTCACAACGGAGGATGTCCGAGGTACTTAGTAGAGGGAAGAAACAGCCGACCGCCAAGTCCCAATCACGCCTTCACAGAATTCTCCTCCGGCCTTCGTCGGATCAACAGATGCTCCTGGGGCCCCCGCAGGGTCAATTCCGTGAACAGCCCGGCCTTACTGGGTGGGACCGGGATGATCTGGATCTCATACTTGGTGAACATGTGGGCAAACAACAGCTTCAGCTCATCCGTTACGAAGAAGCGGCCCGGGCAAGCGCGCTTTCCTAGTCCAAAAGAGAGAAAGGTCTCAGAGGTACGGGACATGGGAAGACGCGACGATGGCGTTTTTGCAGTTGTCTGGTCGGCTGGAGCCTGGGAACTCTCATAGCGGGCAGGATTATAGGTCATGGCATCTGGCCAGATGTCATCGTCGCGGTGGATGGCATAGGCGGCAACGCTGATGCGCGCGCCGCACGGCAGATGGAGGCCATCATCCAAGGTCGCTCCTGTAGGACTGGTGACTTGCCGAATCAGACCGGGAAAGACGACGGCTAGACGCAGACTCTCCTTGAGCGCATTTTCGATATGCACCAGCTTTTCGATGTCTTTCTTCACCGGCAGGTTCTGGCAGTCGCGCAGCACCTTGTGCGCTTCTGCTGTCACCAAAGCCCGGTATCCTTGAGCCTCGCCCAGAGTGGTAATATCTGCCAAGCATTTGCTCATTGTGTTGGTCGTCGTTTCGATAGAAGCTAGATTGGCCATGCCCACACGGGCAATTACGCGCTGTTCGATAATGGCCGGGGATTCACCGCGACGGACAGCACGTTGCACTATCCAGGTCAAGAAGTCGTTCGGGAGGGAGAATGGCTTTTGATCTGGATTCTCCGAAATGTCCTCCTCTCCCTTCTCCCCCACTGTCTCTTCCATCTGTTGTACGGCTTGGATTCGTTCTCGCACCATCGGCTGCAGGTGTCGGCTGAATCTAGCCATGTAGAAATGATTGATCCACTTCACAACCAAGGAGAGGGGCCCCTTCAATGGCCGAGGAACAAGGTCCTGGAACACGGTCTCCGGCATGACCGCCATACCCAACCCGACGGCGCCGCGGATATAATCTTCATTTCGACCTGGTCCATGACACAGGTGCCGTTAGCCTCAAATCCTCATTCCTCCTGGAGAGTGGGCGTGTTCCTTACATTTATCTTTCCCCACGAATAGCCGGTTAGTGATGCGGGCGACGATCGTGCGCGTACTGTCCTTGAGGGGAATCATCTTCCACTCGGGCGAATTCCCCCAAATAGCATCTAACGCGCTCACAATCTCATCATTGATGTCCGCCGTCATCCGGCCAAGGTTCTGGGTTAATTCCTTGCGCAGTACTTCCTGCACTGAGTGGTCGCCCACTAACCCGTCCTGCACAAAGGCGTGGAATTCGTTGTGAATGGGATCCATGCTGAGTACCGATTCCGGTTGGTCGATTATCCATCGAATGTATTTGGGGGGAAGAATGATTTGCGGTCGACCGAATGCAATGGCGAGGGCGGCGGCTCGACCTTTTTTATTGCACTGGCAGGGAGGTTAAATTATAGACTGCCCTTTCTGGGGAACAAGAAATAACGTACTTCGAGATAAGCCTGCATGATGTTCTCCTTCATGACGGAGAACGACCGCGCCTTCGCACGAAGGTAACCAAAGCCCTCTTGGGGTCGGTCAATCCATTGCACTTCTTTGGGAACGATGTATTCCCAGGTGGTCAATCGGTTAACCAGTACCAAAAGAAGAAGAACAGCAATCACCGCGATGATGACTTGTTGTAGCGAAGTGAGATTCAATAGGAATTCGATCATTTTGAAGGCTAAATGTTGACACGGACGGAGAAGTTCGAATTTGAAAGAAGGGAAGGAAAGAGGAAACAGCGGCCAATTTTGACTCCAGACTTCATTTGCCAGCTGGCTTGAATCAAAGCCAAGAACCGTCAGCGAGTGAATAGTCGTGGTAGCGGCCAGGCTATAAGGGGCAATCCATTCAAAAGGCCCGCAGGGTCGCCAAATGTCAGGAAGCATCTGCGTACCGTACCACCTGGGTCACGAGAAAAGACGATGGTATGCTCAATGTGCTTATCCAGCAGACTTTTACATAAAGGCCAATGGATACAGTACACTAAGTCCGTAGAAGGTTGTGCATGGCATTCAACAAAAGCGTTTCTATTTAATGATGGATCATCCCAAGGCCGGTTGTATATATCTCGACCTGAAATTCCATCTGGCTTAACCGCGGAGTATGCAACTTGAGCTCAATATATAAAAGCAACAATGCCGATCAAATCTCTTGATTTTCTACAATATCTTAGCGACGATCTAAGAGAGCGACAAAATTTCTGTGATGAACTATGCGCAACCCTCTCTGTCTATGGATTCGTCAAGATTCAGAACTCTTCTCTCTCAAAGGAGACAATTGACCAGCTGTTCAGATTTGTGAGTACATGATTGAAGACAAAGTAATCGGGGAAGTGACCCTAATTAAATGTAAACAGAACAAGCTGTTCTTCGATCTCCCCAATCACCTGAAAGCAAAGGCGGCGCACCCAGAAGCTCCAAACCCACATCGAGGATGGAGTGCAATTGGCCAGGAGAGTGTGTGCCAGATCTCCAAATTTGAGCAAGGAAAGCGGCAGAATGACTATTACCAGGAGTGTCGCGTAGGTTTCCGAGGGGAAATAACATAGATGGAGTGATCTTACTGACAGGCAACCAGGAATCATTTGATCAAGGGGCAGCCAACGACGAGCTCTTCCCGAACCGGTGGGTAGATGAAACTGATTTGCTAGGTTTCCGTCAATTTATGGAGGGCATCTACGACCAATTCCACGCGCTCCACGCCGACCTCTTGCGCGCTATCACGGCCGGATTAGGCCTACCCGAGGAGCATCTCATCTCCAAGCATCAGAGAAACACCAGCGAGCTGCGATTGCTGCACTACCCATCTATTCCATGCAGCTCGATGGGGTCTGTTCAGCGGATTGGCGAGCATTCTGACTTTGGTACTCTCACCCTGCTCTTGCAAGACTCTGTGGGTGGTCTGCAGGTCGAGGATCAGCAGCAGCTGGGTAGCTTTATTCCAGTGGAATCGGAAGATGTGTACGAGGTGATTGTCAATGTTGGCGACTGCCTTCAGAGATGGAGCAACAAGAGTCTGCGGTCCGCTAATCATCGTGTGAGTTTGCCCGAAGGAAAAGGTGTTCACACTGATGAAATGCTGGCGCCCCGGTACTCGGTGGCATACTTTGGCAAGCCGGACCGGGATGTCCTCGTTGACACGCTGGCTGAGTTTGTGCGCCCGGGCATCAAGCCTGAGTACAATGATGGCTTGACCGCGTTTGAATATAATCAGTTGAAGCTGGTTCGTACTTATAATTAATACCTTGCTGGGGTAGGTGGAGGTGAGAAGGGGAAGGCTGCCATGAAAAGAATTGTGAGATAGTTGTGTATTTCCTTCTGTCTTTGTTGTGTTATCAATTCATTCCTGTTCATCCTAGATTGTGGCCTTCCCTATGTTTCCGAAGGCAAATAGCGGTCTGAATGATACTTGAGATAATTTCTTCCACAAATTGCTGAGTGAATGGTTTGGGGGAAAGAAAAATCGTTGAATCATGTTCATTATCTTTGGAAACAGAAAATAATCGCCTAATAGTGTGGTGGTGTTCATAGAAATTCTCGATCTTCCAAGCCCCCCATAGGAGCATTATACTTCATCAGGCAATGAAAGAATTGTGACCGAAGCCATTTTCAAGTTTGGTGGTAATGCAAAGTTCTCTAACTTACTATTCTGATCAGCGTTCAACCAAGGCTCACCAGTGAGTGACACACAATCTTTCTGTGCAATAAGGCATTAGTACAATCGAAGTCAGGCGACTCCTATCACCGGGAGACCGATCATCTTACCTGAATGCTAGACAGGAGTGCACTATAGGTAGCCTCATCATTGCTTATACCGATCCCAATGCCCCAGACGGGTTTGGCGCCGTCTCCGATAGAGCATTGTGCGAATGTGACAAACAGGTCTTGTTTTTGCCGACCAGGAAGGGGATGAGATGTCGCCATAATGCACTGAAACGGGCACTGCAATGTCTGACCCATGAAGGTGGCTATCAGATTTGCCTGATCTGTAATCACTTCCAGAGAGTGCGGGCAGGCAGGTTGCTGAAAAAGATTGCTGGTGTGCTGTTGTCCGAGTACCAGCGAGCGATAATAAGAGCTGTGATCGTAACATTCCAGGAAAAGGGCACAAATTTCCTCAGCAGCCAGTCCTCTTTCCCAGGCCATTGATTTCTCTTTGATAATACGGCTGAAAGCAGCGGCCAACTCATTGGGAAGACTCAAGCCGAGCCCTTGCTGGATAAGCCAGGCCACTCCCCCTTTCCCGCTCTGGCTGTTAACCCCAATTACGTTATCAAAAGAGATGCCCAAGTCGGCAGGATCGAGGGGCAAGTACGGCACCCGCCATGCGCTATTCGACATGCTAATGGCTCGTTTGTTCAACCCCTTCCGAATCGCATCTTGATGGGCCCCGGAGAAGGCACGGAAGTAATAGTCCCCTGAGTACGGCGTTCTTGGATGCACAGGGAGTTGAGTGATCTTCTCATACACTTGTCGAATGGCGGGCAGGTTTGAGAAATTCAACCCGGTCTCGATACCTTGCGTGAAATAATTCATGGCGGCCGTGACAAGATCCAGGTTGCCCGCACGCTCGCCGTTGCCGAAGAGGCATCCTTCGATGCGATCCCCGCCGGCCAAGCACGCGAGCTCCGCGGCGGCCACGGCGCCTCCACGGTCATTGTGGGTATGAATAGAGATGCAGACCGTGTCGCGGTTACGCAGATGTCGAGCAAAGTATTCGACCTGGTCCGCGAACACGTTGACGGTGGTGGCCTCGACACTGGACGCGAGTCCTAAGATGACGGGCTGTTCACGGGTGGGTTTCCACGCAGTCTGGATGGCTTCTGCCAAACGTAAGGCAGCCTCTGGACGGGCATTAGCAAAGTCCTCGAAGCCGAATCCTAACGTCCACTCGGTGGTCTGCGCCTCCGCATCTTCTATGGTGATGGATCGCGCATATTCGATACAGTCAGTGACGTGCGCCAACAAATCTGACTCTGATGGTTGTTGCAGAATCGTCTCGCGGTAGTTGTCGCTGGTCGCGAGATAGGTAAAGAGGATGGCCTTCTTTGCCCCCTTGAGGCTCTCGACTGCGCGCTTGAGGGTCTCTTTCCGGCAGGGGGTCATCACCTCCAGACTGACGTCCGGTGGGACGGCACCTGGGGTGCTCACGAGCTCCCGCGTGAAGTTGAATTCGGTGTCTGAGGCACAGGGGAAGGAGACCTCAATCTCCTTGAACCCAATGCCCACCAGCAGGCGAAACATCTGCCATTTTTGGGCTATTGTCTGCATCGCATTAGCGATTACATTAGCTCTTCTTCCCCTCCAGGGTGGGTGGTTTCATGCGTACCATGGGATTGGGGAGAGCTTGGTTGCCATCCCGTAGATCAGTCGACAGCCAAGTGGGGGACTTCGTCAACTTCTTCGATGGCCAATGTCGGTCTGGCAGATGGATATTGGGAGGATCCCGGCCGCCATATTTGCTCTGCAGGCTTTGGCCACCTGCACAAATTGTTGGCATTTGTCTTATTTGCTTTTTTTTCTTTGCCTTGTAAGCCCAAGAATCTGAAGGAAGGGGGTTGTTTTCTTCCACTTACCGGTGGGGAGCGTGGTTCTTTTCTTTCTACATACCCTAAGAGCCACACAATGCGAAAGCCCAGATCTTGATACACTAATTAACCCATTCAGGAGGAAAAACGAGCAGAACGGAAGTTATGGTGCTTAGATCAGTCCCTGTGGTCTTTGAACGCTGTTCGTTGTAGGCTAAGCCGGACAGGGTGACGGAGCAATCCCGAGATTCATGCATTATGGATGAACCAGATGTACAAGGACCCCAAGGATTAAAGGCGGAGCAAAAGGGTCCCTCACAGGACAGCTCACTTATACATAGTGACATAGTTCCTCTATATTTCTAATCTATCAAGTGTTTGTACTATGTCTGATGGTCACCAACATATATGCTTAGTCAGCACGGCTTCTTCCCCTGTAGGCTACACCGCTCGTCATCCAGCCCGTAGTAAGCTAAATACAATCCTATGCCTTTCAGGTATATGGATACAATGAACTCACGGTTTTTTATAATATCAGTTTGTGTCTGAGGAAGGTGTACCTTAAGGTAACTAACACAGGGTGCAGATGGTGCCCCATAGGTGGTTGTACGTATCTAATGAAGAAAATGAACTAGAGGATAAGAAAGGACAAAAGATTCCACGTATTGAACAGATTTATAAGTGCGAGCATTTCTATAAAACCCTCCTACATAATACAATGCGAACTGTAGTCATTTACATTGCTTCTGGTTGCCCTTTTTACTCAAGTTTCATACAATTCTTCCCCCACAAGCAATAATTGCCTATTGGCGCTATGGTTAAGACACATGATATTGTGGTGTTCCCAGGCGACTATGGAGGCCCCGAGGTGATGGCTGAAGGCCTGAAAGTAATTGTACCAGCGGCCAACTGCAAATCAATACGACTAAAAATAAATTTAGGTGCTACACGAAATCCAAAGACAGTATCAAACCGACGTCACACTAAACCTCAAATACCATCTCATTGGCGGAGTATGTACTCTCCAATTCTAGCCCTACGGCCGCCTGTCAAGACAACTAACGATCGTGGTGATTGAACAGTCCGCATTCGATGCTCATGGCACTCCTGTGACTGAGGAGGCCCTTTCCGATGCCAAAGAAGCATCAGCGGTACTTCTTGGCGCCGTTGGTGGCCCGGTACGTGAGAAGATATCTGTTTCGAGGATGAAATGAATAGGGCATCGGGCTGACGGAAGGGTCTTCACAGGCATGGCAGGGAAGCCCGGTCCCCGTCGAATTGGGGTTGGGAAGACTGCGCAAGGCCATGGACGCATTTGGAAACATTCGACCGATCAATTTCATTGCCCCCGTGTTGATTGAATCATCCAGCCTAAAAGAGCGCGTGTGCTCGGGGACAGATATCCTCATTGTGCGTGAGCTCAGCGGCGGCATATATTATGGAGATCGTCAGGAACATGACGGGACATTCAACGCTGCCTCGGATCTCGATCACTATGACGGGAACACAATCCAGCGCATTACACGGTTGGCAGCCTGGCTTGCCCGGTCGAAGACTCCTCCTTTACCAATAACTAGCTTAGACAAAGCTAATCTGCTGGCGGCCTGTGGCCGGCTGTGGCGTGGCGTGGTGACGGAAACTATTGCCTCAGAGTTTCCAGATCTGACACTTCAGCATATGCTAATCGATACGGCGGCCATGACCATAGCTCTTCGACCGACGACGCTCAATGGAATCGTCTTGACCAGCAACATGTTTGGCGACATCATCAGCGACGAGGCCAGTGCCATTCCTGGCAGTCTTGGTCTACTGCCTAGCGCGAGTCTCTGCGGGATTCCTGACGATGCTGATGGGACCGTAGTTCGTGGCATCTACGAGCCTGTGCATGGTAAGTGACGTGACTTTTGTTCTGTCTGTGTTCATAGGACGGTTTCGTCCCGCTGTATGAAGGAATTGCATGGTTAATACATTTCTGCTTAGGATCCGCACCCGACATTGCCGGGAAGGGTATTATCAACCCTACTGGGATGATTCTATCCATAGCTATGATGCTCCGCTACTCACTTGAGATGCCTGCCGCTGCAGTTGCTGTCGAAACCGCAGTCAGGGAGATCATTGAGCGAGGTTGCCGGACGAGAGATATCGGTGGAACGGCTTCAACCACGGAGTTCGGTGACGCAGTCGTAGCTTGTTTAAAGGATCATGAGTGAGGGGAATGACCATTCTTGTCATCTGCAAACATTAGTATTGCGAATATTACTATTGTAATAAATTCATTATTAAGCATATAAAATGATAAAAAAGAACGTGTGCTATTTAGGGTATGAGAAGCAGCCCAGTGTGGGGAGGAAAAGCGGACTGGATTACTCTATGCCATAGGAGTAATAAGCACATCTTTATTGGCTGAAGGAATACAAAGCATAATCACCTTTACTACTGCGATAAAATCAATACAGTTGAATCAACCGAAGATCTAGGCATGTGGATGGTCCTCAACGCAGACGCCTCTCTCCCGCATATGAATAGCCCAACCCCACCTTGTGACGCTACAAAGTTTGTCCAAAAATTTAAACCAACAAAATGCCAAGAGCGTCAATTGCCTATAGCTTTGAGCACAGTCTCACCGGGGATGCGAGGGCCTTCATTCACGGAGTGGTGAAGATTCTAGAAGGCACCCGTGGGATTCGATTGGAGGAATGCAGCATTGAAGACAGGAATCCAAGCCAGACCCTCCTGTACCTGACCCAAGAATCTCATATCAGCCCTCCAGGCCCCGATTGCTCAATAGTGACCAATATCGACGCTTTTATCACCCATCTCAGCAATGAGCTCGACGCCGGTGGCAGTCCTGCAGACGCATCTACGCTACGATATGTACTCGACCTGTGTCACACGGAGATAGAGCGCGGTGGTTTGGGATTCTCAGAGGCACGATGCATCGACTGGTCGCTCAGTCAGATGAAACTTCAGGACCTGCAGGATCTCCTTGAGGCATGGCTGGAGTCTCTAAACTCCGCCGAATCAGGCAGATGTCTGCCCGCACCGCTGTCCGTTAAGGCCTCTGCCACGAGGCCCATGACGTTAGCAGAGAAGATTCTTGCGCATCATGCATTTTCGCTGCCATCTGCACATGGTCTTAAAAGTGGTGACTTTGTTCGAACCTCGGTCGACTGGATTGTTGCCAGTGAGCTATCTTGGGTGGTAGGTCATTTTATCATCCCCCTCTCAGTTGATGAAGCCTTCCAGAGTGAAGCGCATCTTGGAAAATATGCGGTGAATTTATCTATTCTATAGGGCATGAAGCACAGTATGACCAGCATAGGTGAGGAGCCTACGGTCTGGAGAAATGACCGGTTTTGGCTGGCGGGAGATCACACGGTTGATCCCCGTACGTATCACCAACCGCGGGTCCGGGAACTTATTGATGGCATGAAAGATGCAAAGACGAAATTCAAGATGACGGAAAACCAAGGTTCAAATGTCAGCTCCTGCCAAATTCCATTCTTGACTTTCACCCGGAGTCGTTGCTGATGATCAAACCCATTCCCCAGTATACCATCCTCCACACCGAATTTGTGCGGGAGCGAGCCGAACCGGGCATGCTCGTTCTTGGCTCGGATTCCCACACCTGTTCGGCAGGTGCCGTCAGTTCGCTCGCTATTGGACTCGGGGCAGCCGATGTGATGGCCGCTCTGGCCACTGGTGAGACATGGATCAAAACCCCCGAGTCAATTCGGGTGGAGTTCAGCGGCGAGCCTGCCTGGTACATCCGGGGCAAAGATGTGATCCTCTACATCCTGAAAATGCTGAAGCGCAATACACATGCTGCTGATCGAATTGTAGAGTTCGGGGGACCAGGCACGCGCTACCTCTCCTGCGATGCCCGGTTCGCAATATGTAATATGTGCACGGTAGGCAACTTTGTTTCTGATCCAGCCCCGTCCCAAGCAGTGACTCACGCAGAACAATGACAATAGGAATTGGGTGCCATTACGGGTATTTTCGTCCCAGACCAGATCACTAGCCAATTCATCTCGGATCGCCCTCAAAGCCGCTACAAGTCACAATCTCTGTACTTTCAGCCGGACGCAGATGCCTCGTACGCCGCTACCTTTCAGATCAATCTCGATGAGGTTAAGTCCTTCATTGCGCTCTATCCCTCCCCGGACAACGTAGTGGAGGTGACTGAGAAACTGGACATGGTTTTCGAGGGTTGCTTCATTGGTGCTTGTACCACCACGGAAGAAGATCTGATCTTAGGCGCCTTAGTCCTGGAGGCAGGTCTTCAGAGGGGGCTGCCGCTGGCTGCCGGGAAGCGGATAGTTGTCCCTGGAAGCTTACCAATCGTCAAAAATTTGCGCGACTTGGGTCTGTTGGATATCTACTCCCAAGCCGGGTTTCAACAACCAGCTGTGAGCTGCAGCATGTGCCTGGGGATGGGAGCCGACCGTGCAGGGGCTGGCGAGAATTGGCTTTCGTCACAGAATCGCAACTTCAAGAACCGAATGGGTCCAGGTTAGCCTCCTTCCCTAGATAATTGACCCATGTCAGACGACGACTGGCTGACCTGGTCTCCCCGCAGGATCCATTGGACATATTTGCTCCGCCGCTGTAGTCGCTGCCTCATCTTTTAGTATGCAACTAACCGACCCTCGTTATCTTCTCAGCCAAGTGTCGGTCGAGAGATATCACACTTTACTTGCAACTTGTCGACGAAGGAAGGCCGAGCCGCCTCGGAAGTCCGGAGGTCCTTTCAAAGCGGGTGGCGTACAGAGTGCAGCGTCGATCCCGCCAGCAATGCCTCCAGCGCCCGAGCCTTACTTGTCCTTTCGCGGCGTTGCAGCCCCTGAGAGGAAGGAGCCGAGACAGGAGCAGGCGAATGAGGAAATCAGTAGTGCCGAATTCGAGACTATTTGTAGCAAGGTCTCTGCTTTGGGTGATTTTGTGGACACGGACGCGGTGAGTTGCCCGGGGTTTCTTTCTCTTTTTTCGACCGCGGGAATAGCGATGGCTAACCACGTATAATCCAGATTATTCCCGCCGCGTTCATCATGGAGAGCCCAACCGACGTCCTGCTTGGCAGTCACTGCCTGGAGTTAACCCACCCTGAGTTTCGCGACCAGGTTCGGGCCGGATGGGACGTGGTTGTTGCTGGCAAAGCCTTCGGCTGTGGTTCATCGCGTGAAGAAGCGCCACGTGCTTTGAAAGGTATATGATCACCGCTCGTGGCCGAATATCCAGAAAAGGATTTTGATCTAACAGGTATGAACAACAGGTCTCGGCGTGAAATGTGTGATTGCACGTTCCTTCTCCTTCATATATGGGCGTAATCAACCCACTATCGGTCTCTTGGGCCTCACCATCACCGACGACGACTTCTATGCATCGGCCCAAACTGGAGTTGATATTGAGATCAACCTTCCCCGTCGACTGGTCACCGTGGGCGGACGGTCGTACCCGTTCGTGCTTGATGAGATGGAGTTGGCCTTAATTCAGCAACGGGGACTCGCGGCAGCGTACAAGAAGTTTGGCAAGGCCGTGTTCCAGTCGCTCTGTGACGATCAGTTGTCGGAGACGGTATCAGCATCAGAGCTGGCCGAGATGCACCTAGGGGGCCGTCAGAAAGATCTGGGAAATAGGGAGGTGCTCGCGTGGTGAATTGCGTTTGCCTTTACCTCTGTCTTGAATAAATTTCCTATGCCGGCAAAAGGGACCGGCGATTGCAAAACTATATGTAGACTCCATATGACCCAAAGCTGAGGGACCTTAGTGAAACTCAACTTAGAGCCTACCATGATCTTGTTCTTAAGGCTGCGTAGTTATTGAAGTTACATCCTGATTTTTCTACCTAAATATCTGTTCTGGTTTATACAACAAAGCAATATGTATTCTTGTTTATTTATGTCTGTTTGATATCGAATAAGTTAATTTATATGGGTTCGATCTAAAACAAAAGATACTAAGATTATATATTGATTATTTAGCAGCTTTATAAACGCCAAGAGTGTCCAAAGTTGGTTTTATACAAAGTTAGGTTTTGCTGGGTCCTGGATTAGGCCCGGGTTGGATACCTCGACCCAAACCCGGGTTGTGCGACATACTAGCCATATAAGAGATATATAGCTATACTAAAGTAGATACTCAAGCGCGCTTTATACTATTATAGATATCTATAGATATCCTTACTAAGGATATAGTATTAAAATAATATCTAACTATTATCCTCGATTTATAGATATGGTATATAACCCGGTATCTAACAGAGAGGATATATTAGAGTCTGAGTGGGCGTACTAGTAAATTCACAATACAACATATAGGCCAAAAGTCTGTACCTACTCTACTTTTTGGCCTTCCACCCCTAAATATATATATCTGTTCTACTACATATTACACCACCATCTAGTAAAATTCTCTAAGATATACAATAGTTTGGCTTTAACAATCTCATTAGATATGATAAGTAAAATGCATAATAAAAAAGTAATATGTTTTAACGTTATTAAGACCGTACCATCCTGTTTCTTAATATATCCTTTACAACAATGGACGAATCACTTGTGGAGTTATGTGGGTCATAGATCGCGGATCAACCGAAACTTTGATCTTCGATACACTTGGCCAGTGCGTGTCATGGCTGAACTCTAGCTCGGGGGGTTTTGTCGAGGACGAAGCCGAGCACGAAGTTGAGGAATCACGTAGACTATTGCTCAGATGTGAAGCTTGTGAGACTTCCCCATACTTTCCTCGGCTGCGCTGATCGTCCCGGGGAGCGTTCTGGCTCTCCGTAGCGTACATGTCAACTGTCAGATATGCCGCCCCCAGGCCCCATATGATTACCTTAGTTTTTATGTGGTCTAGTGGTAAGATATGCTGTATTCTTCTCTCACAGTACAGGCTGCTTCTTAGCTAGGCTTCCAACCCATTTTAGGTTGGGTCTGGGTTGGGTCTAGGTTTGACTAGGTCGTGCGGAAGACTATTCTTAGCACTCTCTACCGCAACCTTTTTAATCCCACAGTTCCTACCCGTGGAACATTAGCGTCTGACTATGAGCAAATGAAGCTAAGCGTGACTGGCTTGCGCATCACAAGCGTAGATGAGTATGACTGGTGGATTTTGGGCCTTTGAGAGAGTGACTGGGATTCTGAATCTATCCTCTGTTTCAGCCAACATACTTTCGTTGGGAACCTGGCGAGCCCCTATCTCGTCACATCTACACTCCTTTACTGGAAATTGTTTTCCAGTCGATTGCCACTCACTTCAATCTTTTCATTATATGATTCACAAAACTTTACTCATTCTGCCTTACTGTTATACTTTTGGCATACCTTCGTTTACATTGCTTCCTCCTCGGTCCAGTCAACCCACCTACCTTTGGGTGACTCGATTGGTCGAGATCACCCACCATGTCGGTCATAAATAGAGCCTTCCAATGCACCCTCCAGACTTGTACTCTCGATCATGCTATGGTCCATTATGTCCCCACACTGGCTGGGAATGCTCTGTTTCTCGCGCTCTTCGCCATTGCGGCGGTAATTCATCTGTTCCTGGGTGTGTGGTACCGCACCTACTCCTACTTGTTTGCCCTGGGCTGTGGTCTGCTCCTGGAGATTATAGGTTACGCCGGTCGAATTAGCCTTCACTATGACCCATTCTCCTTCAACGCCTTCCTGCAGTACCTGATTTGCCTCACCATCGCCCCCGCCTTCATCTGCGCTGGGATCTACTTCTGTTTTGGTCGTGTGGTGATTGAGTACAATGGGCGCATTGATGCCTCGCGTGAAAGACAGAGGTCACCGTCCCGACTGCAGCCCGGCACATACTCGAAGATCTTTATCGCCTGCGATGTTGTCTGTTTGATCTTGCAGTCCGCAGGCGGTGCGATCACGTCCACTGCCGGGATGTCTAACACCAGCCTAAGAGATCTTGGGATCAATATCATGATTGCTGGTTTGGCGTGCCAGGTGGTCTCGCTGGCGGGATTTATCGGCCTCGCGGTGGACTTCGCAATTCGAGTGCGACGTCAACGGGCGCAGAGGCCGTCATCACTTCCATCCGCGGTGTGGGAAGCTGGGTGGAAATGGAAGGCATTTTTAACCTGTAAGCGATGTCCTTGTTTGCCTCCCTCTATTAGTCTCATTATCTTGGATCGGTATATTTTTCGCCCCTTACTTACCCAACTGATTCCCCAAGCCTTGGTGGTCGCCACTATCACCATTTTCATTCGTTCGTGTTTCCGAGTCGCGGAGCTCAAGGGTGGCTTTGGAAGTGACCTAGCGAATGATCAGGTCGCTTTCATGATCCTCGAAGGGGCTATGATAATAATCGCATGCAGCGCCTTGACAGCCATCCATCCGGGGGTGGTGTTCCCGCGGGAGCGCTGGAGTGCGCCCGCCCAGTCGGGTTTGACTCGCGTGGCGAGTCAATCGAGTCATATTGAGATGCGTCAAGGCCCGGTTGCATAGTTTGTTTTTACTTCGTGGTGCCTCCTCTGGAATGAAGCCTATAAATGCTAGAATTTTGTGCTACTAGACTAGTCCCACACTTGGCCGATTATCGCATATGCTGCGGTCAGTCACAACCACCCGCCACCCTTCAGGAGAAGGGGGTAGGAGCTTGGAGACAATAACCTATTTTCAATCTATCCTTCCAGGGTTTCCGTTTCGATATATCTCCCTGCTACCTACACAGCCGACTGAAGCTTAGCTCTATCATTAGCTAAAGTCATTCCTTCCTCCGTCATCGGAAGCTGTAGTCGAGATATTCGCCCCCCGGAATAGGACGCTCGAATCCCACTCCAGTCAATCCCGTCGGTGTACAAGCAGACAGAGACTGGCATTGGGCCGAGCAGTCCCGACCTGCACTTCCTTCTCTACGACATGTTCGAGCGGGTCCGCCTCATAATGCTGCACGAGATACGCCAGCATCAACTTTATCGTCTGGGCCGCGAAGAATCGACCAGGGCAGGCATGTCGCCCGTGCCCAAAGGCAAGGAAGGTGTCGGTCGTAGTCGCGATGGAAGGGGCTTTCCGACCGGCAGCTACTTGGTCGGTATCACTGAACCGGAAGGGATTGAAGATAAATGGATCTGAGTAACAGTATGGGTCGCGTTGGATGGCATGGGATGGCACGCACACTCGCACGCCCTGCGGTATATGGAGCAATCCTCCTGCCTGTTGGAAGTCGAGGCCTGCGGGATGCGCCACCATGCGCGGAACGGCAATGTACGACAGATCGGATACTCGCATGGACTCCCGGATGGTCGAATCTACTCGTATCAGCCGATCCAGTCCAGCTTTGGTCCATTGACCTGCTTGTGGCTGCGGCTGCTGTTGTGATTCCTCGTGCCATACGCGATCAAGTTCCTCTCGAAGCCCAGCTACAAAGCTCGCGCAATCGGGAGCAGAGTACAGATCGATTACCGTATGGGTCATGGACATGGCCATCGTTTCTATCGCGACAAAGTTGAGCATTAGTAGTCGCTGGACGATCAAACTTGGATTGATTTCGCGTGCGTCGTCGCACTTCACACAATCTTCAAGGAGCCATTGAAGTCCGTCGACCTACAAAATAACAATCAGTTTTCCAGCGCCATGTTTGATAATTGGAAACACATTGGGATGAGGAGAAGGCAGGTGGAGAAAGAGGGGGATGTTTACGGACCGGTGCCTTCCATGTGGGGTCTGCCGCAAGGGTCTTTTGCAGTCGGTCTTTGACAACGGGAAGAGCAATGTCCAGGCAGATCTTATAGTGCTTGCGATTTGGATATGTTATGAGCGGGGCGAGAAGCCAACGCAGCCATCGCGGCAGCAAGCGGATGATGATCCCCGCGCGCGCGACGCCTTCCGAGTAGCGGCGCGAATGGAGGAGGAAATCCTCATTCTGGCAGATATCTGGACCGGCAAAGACGCGATTGGCGACACGCTTGACAATTTGCGTGCAAGTTTCGAAGACATTGACCTCCAATGGCGACCGCTGGGTGCCCCAGTACTGCCGAAAGCTGCGGTCGACCTCTTCTGCCATGATCGGGATCACCAGCGGAAGTTGTCGCGACAGCTGGCGGCGTACCAGATCAAACTGGATGGGTACTTGCACTGCGTGCCACCCGAGCGGTCCCTGGGTGTAGTAGTGCTGCAGCTGTTCTGCGTGGATTATGTCCGGATCCAGCTCAGCATCTGTTTTGGACAGCAGCTCGCGCATGCTACTGGGCGGCAACACCACCCAGGGAGCTTCGGCAATGGTGGGCAGGATGAAGGCCTTGCCATTTTTGGAGTACTGTCCAATTTAATTTTCTTTTGATCAGCGGAACAGATTCCCAAGAACAGGCTTGTCACCGGAAATATAAGGAGATGCCCATGAACTAACCTTCTCATAGCCTTCATCCAGCATCTGGCGTATACCGCTGATAGTTCGCAGTGAGGCTCTGAATTTGGGAAACCATTCCGGGCGAAGGCCTACCCAGACCTGTTTCTTCCAGAATTGCGTATGCTCATGCGAATCCGACAATACAAGCTGGTGAACCATTAAGCAGATAATGATCCCAATGGTGCATTGCAGCAGCATTTTCGGTACTCCACCGAGGGGTAGTTCAGGCAGCATCTCCATGGCATGCAAAGAGAAGCCTGTGTTGATCGGTGTGTGGGAAGACAATCGGCCTTAACGACGTTTTTTGTAACAATTACTTCAGAACCATTCAAGAGAGGAGGGTGTGAGCTCTTGCGTAAAGCATCGCTAGCGCGGCCACCATCAGTGCTGGCCGCTATGACGATGAATAAGAGCAAACTTGTGCCAAAACTAGTTCAACTTGAGATACAATTAAACTGGCTAGGATACATGCCCAGGTGGCCGCTCTTCAAGGTTCTGTGTTCTGTGCGTTGATTCTTCCTAACCTTGGAAGGTTCGGAAGTAATCTAGTCTCCAGGTAAGGTATAACACTTAACGAAGCATCATGTGCATCTCGTTTGAATTCCAGTATGTTATGAAATTTATAGCCCCACGTATCTCGAAAATATATATATCTATGATGCACCTGTGATCCAAAAGCCCCATGGATCTTCTATAACCTTAGAATCTTATATGCTAATAAAATCTACTCCAAAATGTTGTGGCACTGGCATCATTTCAAATGTCTTCCAAGGTTGCAAGAGCTTGAATATGTAGAGCTCTTTCTACAGTTGGACTATGAAGTTATACAATGATAGCGTTAGGCGTTCCTCGATAGTTTGCGTGGCACACTCCTTTGCGGTAAGAATGATGACCTCAGCCATAACCCAACATCGTAGCCTACACCCGAGAGGGGCCGCTGACTAAGGGAGCAGGACATCGCATCCACCGCCGACTAGAGTCATAACAATGTACTAAAGAATTGTGCAGAGAAATTTATGGGTAACGAGCAAAAGAAATGGAGAAGCTCAGTCGGAACAAGAAGATGATACACCATGCTAACTACGGTTGATCTTCTTTCCATGTGACACGTGATATCCACGGACCTAGGCCGTGGACACTATTGATGCCTCAAGCCCACTGAATACAGGAATACTATAGTCCCAAGGTCTAGTTGTTTGGACCGGTCCTTCCCTCTCCGGTGAAGGACAATCAATAGCTCCGTTCTACTCTTGACCCGGATCCCGCCAAGAGATTTGAATGAGAGTCTGCGGGTAACCAATGTGTACCTGGAAGAGCAATATGGCGAGCTCCACATGGACCCTAAGCCTCAACGGTTTCAGGAGCAGGTCTGCTTCAATGGCACGACTCGATTAGGATTTGTCCATGAGCCATGGCAAGCTATGGCAATCGGCGAGAAACATAATAGCAGTCAATGCCCATGATTGGATCAAATTTTGTTTTAAGCCCAATCGCTCAGGACACCCTTGTCCTTATCCAGGTTGCTTTTATCAGAGCTAGCAAGCCTGACATATAGGGTGTACGGAAATCCAGACATTCCATTATATTATTTTTCTGACTTGAAATGCAGGGAGCTTCCAGTCATCAGTGACTATGTATTATTCTAATTCATCCACAAACACCATGACTCCGTCGGACAGTGCCTCAGATTCCTCAAAGAGCGACAGTGAGATGAACACCTTCTCTGACGAAAATATGGCAACAAACAATGAACAACAGTTCCTCAAAGCCTGTGCTGAGGTACTCAAAATCCAGGTCGAAAAGCTGGATAAGTCTCAGTCCTTCATCGGACTGGGTGGAGACTCCATTGCGGCAATTACCCTAATTGCGCGATGCGAGGAGAGAGGAATCGAAGTAAAGACGGGCGATATCATCAACTCAAACAGCATCTTAGAGCTGTTCTCGACAACGAAACTACGATCACCTCGAGACAATGATAGTCCCCACTCGACAGTTGAGGGGACCCCCGGACCCAATGAAGTCGAACCCGAACGTTTCAGTATCTGGCAGGATTATAGCCGGGCTATGCCCGAAGAAAGAACAAAACTGCTTGAGCAAGTTGCAGTGAAGTGTGGAGTTGAAGCAGGCTCGATCGAAGATGTGTACCCATGCACTCCGTTGCAGGAAGGTTTGATGGCCATATCTGCCCGCAAACCAGCGGCCTACGTCGACCGCCGAGCGTTTGCCCTGGCACCAAACATCGATCTCCGTCGTTTCCAAGCAGCATGGGATACTTTGATAGAGCGGACCGCCATTCTTCGCACTCGCATTATTATGGGAACGAGTGGTCAATCTTTGCAGGTGGTGACCCGCAACGGCATTCCTTGGAGACACGGATCCACCCTGAAGAGTTATCTAGCGGAGGATAGAAAACAAGGTATGCAGCTTGGCCAGCCTTTGGCCCGCTGCGGACTTGTTACGGAATTAGTCGACGGAGGGGGAGCGACGTTTGTGTGGACGGCTCACCATAGTATCTACGATGGATGGAGTGCCCAGCTCCTCTATCGCCGCCTAGCCGCAATTTACTTCCAGCAGCTGCTGCCACAGTCTATCCCATTTACCCGGTTCGTGCGCTACCTGGAAGGAAAAGACCCAGTCATTGCTGCAAACTACTGGCGCGACCAACTTCAACGCGCGAACGCCAATTCCGTGGCACATTGGCCGGCATTACCCCACCCCAACTATCAGCCCAGTCCCCGGGCCCAATTCAAAGGCGAAATCCCGATTCTCGACGGCGCGGAACAAGGACTCGTCATGATGTCACATATCTTGCGCGCCGCCTGGGCGCTCGTCATGTCCCAGTACACGGGGCAGGACGATGTAATTTTTGCTGTCACGCTATCGGGCCGCAATGCCCCTGTCTCGCAGGTCGCCGAGATTTCAGCCCCGTTGATCACCACAGTCCCGGTGCGCATCGGCATTGACCCGACTCAGACAGTTGGCAAATTCCTGCAGGCCGTGCAGCGCCAAGCCGCTGACATGATTGACCATGAGCATACCGGGTTGCAGATGATAAAAACCGTGCTACCGGAGCTGCATGACGTTTTGAAGCTCCAGAGTCTGCTGGTTATCCAGCCAGCATCGGAACGAGATGTCTACAAAGCCTTCCCTGGACTCAGTCCGATCTCCCTACCAATGGAAGACTTCGACAGCTACGCCGTAAACGTGGAGTGTACCCTGGGGCGTCAAGCTGTGGAGATAGAGGTTATGTACGACGACGATGTGATCGCTGCAGCGGACCTGACCAAGGTTATGGAACAATTCTTCTTCTTGGTGCAGGAATTGTGCTGCCCGTTGGCCCAGGATCGACCGTTGCAGGAGGCCATGGGAATTTCCCCGAGTGACCGGCAGCTGATCTTAGATTGGAACACTACCGTTCCCAAGCCAATGAACCGGTGTGTTCACGATCTGGTGACTGACCAGGTAATGAGCCGGCCTACGGCCATCGCGGTCGATGCATGGGATGGCGAGTTACAGTACGCCGAGCTAGCAAGCCAGAGTATTTCATTGGCCCATTTCCTAGTCAGCTTGGGAGTAGGGCCCGAACAGACCGTGGGACTGTGTATGGACAAGTCTAAATGGGCTATGGTAGCCATGTTGGCCACTATGTACGCTGGTGCCGCAGTATTACCATTGTCGGGAAGTAGTCCACTACCGCGTCTTCAGAGTATTGTCCAGGACGCCGGAACTAAAGTGATTATTGTGGATCAGGGCCAGAAGAGCCGGCTTGAAGGCCTTGACGCGAACACAGTGGTCATCGGTACCACCTTGATGGCGAACATACCTACGACTATGGAACCGCCACAAGTTGGCATCACACCGCAGAATATCGCATGGGTTGTTTACACCTCAGGAAGTACTGGCACCCCTAAAGGTGTCGTATTGGAGCACCGGTCGCTGTGTACCAGTCTCACAGCCCACGCGGCCGCCATGGGAATTAACCAGTATACCAGGACACTTCAATTTGCTGCCTACACCTTCGATGTGAGCTTGTGCGATATATTCAGCACCTTACAGGCCGGCGGTTGTGTTTGTGTGCCGTCCGAAGAGCAGCGCATGAACGCATTGGAAGCGACGGCTGCGCGAATGGAGATCACCTATGCGGAACTGACATCTACGGTCGCCGCTACCCTTTTGCCGGCGGAGCTGCCTTCGTTGTCCACGTTGGCACTCAGTGGTGAGCCGCTAAATCCTGTAGTTCTGTCTATATGGGCACAACGCACAAGAGTGTTCAACTCTTACGGCCCGTCTGAATGCTCCATCGTATGCTCAAACAGCCAGCGGCTATTCCATACCCAGGAGGCCCGAAACATCGGACGTCCCATGAAGTCCAACTTCTGGGTGGTGCAGGCGACGGACTACCAAACTCTGTGTCCCACCGGAGCTCCTGGTGAGCTACTGATTGAAGGCCCTCTGCTTGCTCGCGGCTACCTCCACGACGAGGCTAAGACCAAGGCCAGCTTCATCCTCGACCCGAAGTTTGTGACCCAACTGGGTCTCCCTTCCGGACGTCGCATGTACCGTACCGGTGACCTGGTGAGCCAAAATTCGGATGGATCTCTACTCTATCTCGGCCGCTGTAATAGTCAACAAGTCAAAATCCGCGGTCAGAGGGTGGATGTTAGCGAGATTGAGTATCAGATCACGCAGCAACTTTCTGGCACTGGAAGCGTTGCCGTGGAGCTGGTAGAGCGGGGAGCCCAAATTAATCTAGTGGCCTTGATGAATTTCGCCCCGAACAGCCCATATATGCGCACCGTCCCCGTGCCAGTGACGAAAAATGCAATCGCTGGGAGTGCTCTGGTTGCGAATGAAACACTCGCTTCAACCTTCCAGGAATTGCGGATGAAACTCTTGCAGTCCCTTCCCGCGTATATGGTGCCGACACTGTATATACCCATGGCTGATATGCCCACAAATGCCTCTGGGAAGCTGGACCGGCTAGCTATTCGAGCATATCTGAATACTCTCTCCCTATTAGATCTACAACGGTTTATGCCCAATGCAGGACCCAAGGCGGCGCCAACTACCGACATGGAGAAGCGATTGCAGGCCCTGTGGGCAGAGACGCTGCAAATTGATACTGAAACTATCGGTCGTGGGGATGATTTTTTCCAGATCGGTGGTGATTCTGTTGCCGCAATGCGCATGGTGGCTCTCCAAGTAGCGCGTGAGCTTCAACTCACCGTTGCTACCATCTT